TTCTCTTTATTTTTTTTATTGGTGGGGGGGGGGGGGAAGGAGGGAGGCAAGTCCTCCCCCCGATCTCCTTCTTCCCTCTTTTCTTTTCTTCTTCCTCTTCTTTTTTTCCCTTTCTCTCCTCTTTCCCTTTTTTTCCTTCTCTCTCTCTCCTTTTTTTTTTTTTTTTTTTTTTGCGGGGGGGGGGGGGGGGGCCAAGGCACGCTCGCCCCCCCCCCCTGGATCCGCGCCTGAGATTGATAGTAATATGTTTTTGTGTGGATGCGCTAATATATATTGTAATTTTTTCCAGTCAAATCATGAAAGATGTGAATTTTGATAAACTATTTATATACAAATCAATAATTATGAATATACAATATTCAGGAAATAGTATTAATTCTTTAAAGTTCATAAAAGATTTGGTGAAATTTCATGCACGCACTATTATGATACAAGGCTGGGCAAAGGTATGGGGGAATCCGGGACTCGATAAACAGGGAAATTAATGGGATTAAACTAAATAGTGAGGACATGACGTCACAAACTGATAACCAAATTGGCAATTTGTGTAGTGATTTCATTGTTCCATATATAGTTTTACATACTTTTTCAAAAAATCATAACTTTCTTATTATAGTTTTCCGATTTTGCTCACGAACTTTTTTTGATTGGCTTGTCTGATTTTTTGCTTCTATTTAAAGTAAGCTATTTGTGGAGTGTACTTGTACTTTAAATTTAAACAGTAAGATCCAGACATCTTCCTCCGGCAGGTGACCTATACCACCAGAAAGCTGGACATCTCTATTAATATGTAATCAGCTAAGAATAAAAAACGTCGGCCAAAGATTTAAGCGCCTTGACAGTTAGACAGCTCATTTTGGATTGCTTGAACGGGATATGAAGCTATTGACATGTGCGGAATGACCGATTTTCAGAATACAGAGCCGATATTAAGGTTAAACAGTGAAGGTCCAGACATTTTCCTCCAGCAAGTGACCTATACCACAAGAAAGCTGGAAATCTCCTCTATTAGTAATTAGCTAAGAATAAAAAAAATGTCGGCCTAATATTTAGGCGCCTTGGCAGTTAGTCATATTATTTTGAATTGCGTGATAGGGATATAAAGCTATTGTGCGGAATGACCGAACATTTTCAGAATACAGAGCCGATATTAAAGTTAAATTAAGGTCCAGACATCTGCCTCTATACCACCAGAAAGCTGAAAATCTCCTTTATTATAATTTTTTATCATGCACTCTAAGAATAAAAAATGTCGGCCAAAGCTTTAGGTGCCTTGACAGTTTAAATAGGCACCTCATTTTGAAATGCTTGAACGGGTTAATATAAGGGTGCGTTCAATCGAATTTTCGAAGCTAGAATCACAAACATGAATCACAAATCAAAACGCCGTTACAAAAAACAAGGTCACTGCGGTTAGCGTTCAAGCGATTTTTCATCAACGCTGATTCTAGCTCATTTCGAGCCAAGCCACTGCGGATCACACTCGCAGTTTGACCCAGGAAGTATAGGTCAACTTCGGCGCGCGCTTTTTGGAATTATTTACGGCCGACTGTCGACTGCTGTTTTGAGCATAGATCGCAATAATAAAACAACGAATGGGAAGGTGATGGAAGGAAGAAACAAAAAATAACATAAGGAAAGACAGAAAGAGAAAATGCTTAAAACAAAGAATTACATTAAAAAAGCTGATAGAAGGAAAAAAAACAAAGAATAACATAAGAATAGAAGGAAGAAACAAAGAATAACATAAGGAAAGACAGAAAGAGAAAGTGATAGAATGCTTAAAACAAAGAATTACATTAAAAAAGCTGATAGAAGGAAAAAAAACAAAGATTAACATAAGAAAAGAAGGAAGAAACAAAGAATAACAAAAGAGAAAGTGATAGAATTACAAAAAAAAAAATAACATATAAGAGAAGGTGATAGAAGGAAGAAACAAAGAATAACATAAGGAAAGAAAGAAAGAGAAAGTGATAGAATGATTAAAACAAAGAATAACATAAGACACTGTGAGTGAAGGTAAAAAACAAAGAATAACATAAGAGAAGGTGATAGAAGGAAGAAACAAAGAATAACATAAGGAAAGACAGAAAGAGAAAGGGATAGAATAATTAAAACAAAGAATAACATCAGAAACTGTGATAGAAGGAAAAGAACAAAGATTAACATAAGAATAGAAGGAAGAAACAAAGAATTACATAAGGAAAGACAGAAAGAGAAAGTGATAGAATGCTTAAAACAAAGAATTACATTAAAAAAGCTGATAGAAGGAAAAAAACAAAGATTAACATAAAAATAGAAGGAAGAAACAAAGAATAACAAAAGAGAAAGTGATAGAATTATAAAAACAAAGAATAACATATAAGAGAAGGTGATAGAAGGAAGGAACAGAGAATAACATAAGGAAAGACAGAAAGAGAAAGTGATAGAATGATTAAAACAGAGAATAACATAAGAGACTGTGAGTGAAGGTAAAAAACAAAGAATAACATAAGAGAAGGTGATAGAAGGAAGAAACAAAGAATAACATAAGGAAAGACAGAAAGAGAAAGGGATAGAATGATTAAAACAAAGAATAACATAAGAAACTGTGATAGAAGGAAAAGAACAAAGATTAACATAAGAATAGAAGGAAGAAACAAAGAATAACAAAAGAGAAAGTGGTAGAATTACAAAAACAAAGAATAACATATAAGAGAAGGTGATAGAAGGAAGAAACAAAGAATAACATAAGGAAAGACAAAAAGAGAAAGTGATAGAATGATTAAAACAAAGAATAACATAAGACACTGTGAGTGAAGGTAAAAAACAAAGAATAACATAAGAGAAGGTGATAGAAGGAAGAAACAAAGAATAACATAAGGAAAGACAGAAAGAGAAAGGGATAGAATAATTAAAACAAAGAATAACATAAGAAACTGTGATAGAAGGAAAAGAACAAAGATTAACATAAGAATAGAAGGAAGAAACAAAGAATAACATAAGGAAAGACAGAAAGAGAAAGTGATAGAATGCTTAAAACAAAGAATTACATTAAAAAAGCTGATAGAAGGAAAAAAACAAAGATTAACATAAGAATAGAAGGAAGAAACAAAGAATAACAAAAGAGAAAGTGATAGAATTATAAAAACAAAGAATAATATATAAGAGAAGGTGATAGAAGGAAGAAACAAAGAATAACATAAGGAAAGACAAAAAGAGAAAGTGATAGAATGATTAAAACAAAGAATAACATAAGACACTGTGAGTGAAGGTAAAAAACAAAGAATAACATAAGAGAAGGTGATAGAAGGAAGAAACAAAGAATAACATAAGGAAAGACAGAAAGAGAAAGGGATAGAATAATTAAAACAAAGAATAACATAAGAAACTGTGATAGAAGGAAAAGAACAAAGATTAACATAAGAATAGAAGGAAGAAACAAAGAATAACATAAGGAAAGACAGAAAGAGAGAGTGATAGAATGCTTAAAACAAAGAATTACATTAAAAAAGCTGATAGAAGGAAAAAAACAAAGATTAACATAAGAATAGAAGGAAGAAACAAAGAATAACAAAACAGAAAGTGATAGAATTATAAAAACAAAGAATAATATATAAGAGAAGGTGATAGAAGGAAGAAACAAAGAATAACATAAGGAAAGACAGAAAGAGAAAGTGATAGAATGATTAAAACAAAGAATAACATAAGAGACTGTGAGTGAAGTTAAAAAAAAAGAATAACATAAGAGAAGGTGATGGAAGGAAGAAACAAAGAATAACATAAGGAAAGACAGAAAGAGAAAGGGATAGAATGATTAAAACAATGAATAACATAAGAAACTGTGATAGAAGGAAAAGAACAAAGATTAACATAAGAATAGAAGGAAGAAACAAAGAATAACATAAGGAAAGACAGAAATAGAAAGTGATAGAATGCTTAAAACAAAGAATTACATTAAAAAAGCTGATAGAATGGAAAAAAAACAAAGATTAACATAAGAATAGAAGGAAGAAACAAAAAATAACATAAGGAAAGACAGAAAGAGAAAAAGAGGAAAACAAGGTATAACATAACGGAACAGGCCATGATAAAGAGCATGGTATAGTAAACGCAAATTGCATGAAAAGCAGGCGCGCGGTTTTTGCCCAAACCGGAACAGGCTCCGTCATACAATCATGATTGAGAACTCCGTCCGTTCAATCGAATTTTAGCGACCGTGATTCTGCAGAATCATGATACAAAACGCATCTTTTCAGCGTTTCATGTTTGTGTTTTCAAACACGTTTATTTTTACGACCGACGAAAAAATCGCTTGAACGCATTGCGTTTTAAACTAAACGTCTTTAGAAACCGTGATTCTAGGGTGAAAAAGTGTCGATTAAACGCACCCTAAAGCTAGTCAGTGCGAAATAATGGAACAATTTCAGAATACAGAGCCGATATTAAAGTTAAACAGTTAGGTCCAGACATCTTCCTCCAGCAGGTGACATATAGGACAACCACCAGAAAGCTGGAAATCTGCACTATTAGAATATGTAATTAGCTGAGACTAAGAAATGTCGACCAAATATTTAGGCGCCTTAATTGACAGTTAGGCACATGACCAAAGTTTTTGGATATGCACGGATGTACTGCCATGCAGTGTGCCGCGAAACTGCCGATAATTCCAATATTTTTAGAATATAGAGTTTTTACTCATTTCATTGATAATATTATTTTGAAATAGACGACAAAAAAATTATCAAAAGTTCCACTATGTACCCCCCCCCCCCCCCCACTAAAATATATATATGTTTCAGAATGATATACATAATGGGAAACTAGGGTTAGTGTTAGGATTAGACAATGAGAGATTGAAAGAAAGTGTAATTATAAAACGATACAAGGAATTTCGTTTTCGTTTTTATTTAGCGGGGGGGGGGGGGGGGGGTACATAATAATGATGATGATAATAAGAAGCATCTAAAGAGAATGGGCGCTATTTGTTTTTCTTTTCTCTTTTACCTTTTCGACGACACCGTTAGTAAACGTTGATCTCTTTTTCTCTAAACTTCTGAACTTCTGAAGTGTTCACTTTTTAAACAGTGTCGGGCTATATATATAGATAGCTAAAACAAGATGGTCCAAGGAAAGGTCAAAACAAAAGTTCAAGTCCCAGGAAAGGCTGGTCGAAATAAACAGAAATATGCGCATCAGAAGAAGAAAGGTCACCCGAAGCAGAAAGGAGGTAGACTAGATCTACTCTATTTGTTTTGCATTGTCCGATACGTTAGAATTCGTGTAGTGTTTTCACCAGTGGCAGGTGGGCCTCCACATGTTGTTGTGGGAGGGGGTGTATAATTAATGAGACATATTGTTAACAGAACTTAAACACGTATTTGTGTTGAAAATAATTACAACATTGTGTAATTAAATTTAAGGAGCCTGACTAGGCCCTGAGCTGAGATGAGAAGACGGTATGCAGTCACTACAGTAGTGCCCTGGCCAGCTAGTTTTTTTGTTGTCAGTTGTGTACGTACAGGTGAAAAAAGGAGCAATTTTTATCAAAAGAAAGGGGGAAAATTAAAATGGAATGGCAAAATTAAGGAGCAGAAAAAAGGAGAAGAAGAAAAAACGAGAAGGAGGAAAAGGAGGAAGAGAATAAGAAGGAGGCGGAGGAGGAGAAGAAGAAGAACATGAATATGATAAAATGATTATCATCTGATTATTCAATTTCAAGTTAACTTGCTCTTCATGTATTGTGAAGTGTTTCTGTGTTTGTGAAGAAGGTATTTTTTTGAACTGTTAATGAATAGGTCTTCTGAGTCTGATAAAGGATGTCCTTAATAAATTATCATTTGTATTTGTTTCAATTCTTTTTTTTTCTTTTTTTCTTAATTCAGCTCGATACATTGCTCCTAAAAAAGCACGGCAGATTGAAGCTACTAAACTGACGAAGGTGAGAACATATTTTCAAATTTCTTATGCTTTATAGATTCCTGATTTATTAAGTTATGGGAAATGATAGTATTAATAAGTAGGCTTTAATAGAGAATAAAGGAGATTAGAGATTGTAAGTTTTTTTGTTTTTGTTTTTGTTTTTCTTGGGGGGGGGGGGGGGATCTGATAAAGGATAAGAAAGTAATTTCTATGAATTTGTGATTCATATTTGCTTTGGTATGTTCTATCTTACTCCTGTTCACATATTATAGTATATGTACGAGTGATACAGTGTAAAATAATCTACAGAAATGAAGTGAGATTTACATAATGTCTTTGTTACCTCCCAATTTTTCTGGCAGAATATCTCAAAAGCAATCAGCTCCCGTAACGAGCAAGAAATGCTTGCTCAGGCTGCCTCCAAGGAACCCAAGAAGCTTTCGCTAGGCCAGTCTTCATCAGGGGCAGGTGATTCAAAGAAGAAAGGACAAAAATGATCAAGACAATCCGTAGAAATTCAGAACGACAGAGGATTTATAAATGACAGTGGTCCTTACTGACTGAGGATAAAGCGCAGAGGATGAGGCACTGGGAGGACTCGAAATGGTTTTCTTTGAACACCCAGCTTGTGGATCATTTCACCACAATGAATGCAGACTGTTTTCATGCTTGGTGTTACAGAGACCAAAAAGACAAGAAGCATGTGTTAGAAGGATCACAGAAGAAGGAATATAGTACCCAGATACAGTGGAACCTTGTCATAAAAACACTTAAAACAAAATCTCATGATACTAGCAGGACAATATGACTGGTCCCACTGCTTGTCTTCTATGTTCTTTCTTTCTTTTTTCTTGAGCCTGATGTAACACTCAAGGTGTTTTTCCTTGTCCCACATAGATTCCTATAATGAGAGTATATGGTATTATCAATTTGAAATCAGACCCAAAGGTGGGAGAATTACATTTCTTTGTTGAACTTGTGCCCAGGAGCCTGATCCAGATGACTTTTTAGAACATCTTGAAACCTTTTTGAGTGATGGCTCTGGATTGCAAGAAAAAAGATGAGCATCCACTAACAATTGTGCCACAATGGAAAAAAAAGGGGGGAACACCTATTTCTTCTTTTGTTTGTTTTTAAGAATGAGTTTCTTGACTTAGTCAATTTTAAATCCATACATCTCTCGTCGTGTGCCAACCCTTTGATCAGTCAAGTTGGCCATTTGTATGTGCCTTTCAATGGTTACATGTGCATTCTTTTCAGTTTTCATGTCTACATGAACATTCAGCACTGTTATTTCAATGTTTAAAACAAAAATAGGAGCACTTAAAACCAGACTTTGTACACTATTTTAAGTACTCCCTTTATTCACAATTCTAGAGCTAGATTTCTCCCATGTATTTTGTTCACCATTTTCTCACTGACCCGTTACAATTAAATGTCCATTGATTACTAAATTGAATTGTCTTCCATGATTTTCATTCAACAGCATTTTTGTGTACACCATGTTATTCTAATCACACTTGAATGGAGAATACATTGTGTCAATCATAAGTGAAAGAACGTAATTAAATCAGAAAATGTCACTCTCCGACTTTAATGTTCTTAACCCTAATATGCCCACAATTCTATCTTTCAACGACCGTATATACCAACAAAAGCTTTACCATTTGGTGCATGTGCGAAGGTTAGTGGAACTTAAGTTATATTTTCCTTGACAAAACATTCCCAAACAGGCATTAAAATGTAGGAATATACGGGCATTGAAACACAAGTTCATCACAGTGCTTCATAGATATTTTTATGTATCATTAGTTATACATGTATGTGAAAAATTGCATGTATTATATTATTAAAAAATATATAAATATCGGTACAGTGATAACTCTGACATTCTTGTTTGTAATGGTTCATTTTATTCATAGATTTTTCTGAGAAATATTGACAATACATACATTTTCAAGGCATATGTCAGATTACACATCACTGCCTTGTTATGAATTCTTCTCAAAGGCCAAATTTGCACTATTAGTAAAGAACATTAAACTGACATACAACGTTGACCTTGATGCAAGTAGGAAAATAAAGTGAATTATTAGGTCCCAACTTAGTGCCAAGCATGCCATATTGTATGCAAGTCTGGTGAATTGATTACATATAGCCTCATCACACGTTTTGCAAAGTCAGTAATTAGAGGTAATACACACGTACCTGATAATTTAAATAAGGAACATCCCCAAATGTTACCCCAAACATATAGTTGTACAGCTAAAAAGAAAATTTGGCAATTGGGCCCAATTTTTCTTATCCTTCATAATATGTATATTTTGCTAAATCTATGGTCTTGATCAACATTGTGGTTAATCATCATTCGCCATTTACTTAGACAATTTCTTACTTATTCTAAGTATTGAATTGAATACTGGCCCTGGGTCCAATCTCATAAGTTGCGATTGATCCAAACCAATCACAAGTCCTCTAACTAATTGCAAGTTTACAGTCCCCAATCTCTTTTGTACATAGTTGCATTTGATATCAATCGCAAACTGTTAATAAGACGGGACCCTGCTTTGCCGAACACCCAGAAATAAAGATATTTGAAATTAATTGAATTACAGGTAATAGAATTGGACAAAGTAAATACAAACATGAATTTTTGAAATGTACATGATACATGTATAATACACTATTTGAATGCTAATACTCTATTACACCAGCATACAAGTGTCCTTGCTACCAAATAATTTGAAATGCTATTAAAGATAATTCATAATTTTCTGCTTTCTCAATTAATAAGAGATCATAAGTTTATAGTAGTCATAAATTGAATAATCTTGAATCAAATCAAATAACTGTATTAAGGGAATTTTTAACTGATTTAATATTTTTCTCTGTTCTACCCAATCAAATTTGATAAAGCTATATTATCCACTAGTCCTCTGTATTGAAATCTTGAACCTGAATACTTTCATCATGATGTATTTAACATGGACAAAAATATATCTTGTTGTAAGACTCAACAATGACAGGGGTCCAATGCCGATAGCCCCCCCCCCCTTCCCCCAATTTTACTCTAGTCGGGACCCACTGCACCCCCCTCCCCTCCAATTTCAAAACATAAGCTGGCCTAGTGCAAACAGAATTCAATTTTTATCCAAATCCCCAGAAATGGAGCGAGTGTGAAGCCCAGCTTCATGATGTTTCTGCAGTAATGGATGCCAGGGAAAGATATTTTGTGGGGTCATGACCTCCAGAAGTCCGATGAAAGGAAACCCTTGGGAGGTGGTACTCTCTGTCTCTTGAGACAATCCTGAAATTAAAAAACCACAGATCACACCATTAGAAACATTGAGGCAAAGTAAGTTTAATTTATTTCTCGGACAACTAGGAGAGGGTTTTGAACCCCCTCCTCGATGAGTAACCCCAACAATTAAGACTGCCTACCTCAGTACCCCCTACCCCCCCACAAGAAACTTCTCTTTTAAACAAACAATTACCCCCCACCCACAACCAATCATGACAGCTATCCCCTAAAACGTCAGCCTAAGACAATTGCACCTGTACAACTATTGCCTGTTTTAATTCCCCATTACAAAGTTGTCTGAGGGTATTGACTGGCTTAATAATAAATACATGTATTTAAAGGCAGAGGTACCATAATTATCTGGGGTCATTATCTGCGGGGGTAGTTGTCCGGGCTTATACATGTCAAGTAGTTATTTTCTTTCATCTTAAAGTACATGTATATAAAGTTAAGACAAAATACCTAAACTCTACAAATAGCTGTGATTATCATATCTTATTTAAATTTGAATCAATTTCATGTTTAAGTAGTGATGGTGTTTAAAATCAGAAGAGAGTCTTACCTCCAAAAAGCTTTTTAGTCTCATTACTGGACCTCCTGAACCCTGCGGAGTAACAGCTTCAATCCTTTTAAAAATGAACACATTACATTGTTTAGGTCAAACATCATCAATCTAACTATAACATCTTCATTACAGATTTTTTTGTTTTAATTTATCGTTATATCTTCATAAAAGAGTATATGATAAACTTTAAAGCTCTGCTCTACTAAACGAGCACATACCAGCCATTTGTCCTGTTTCAATACCACTTGCCATTAAGGTTGAGTCCTTCGACTTCAGGTGCTACCAATGCAAATCCAATCTCCAATCCTGACCCTTACCATAAACCTAACCCCAATTCTAACCCTAACCTTAAAAAGAAGTGTCCTATATTTCTTTATCTATTTTGCTTATAACTAAAACCGAACTAAACATATTTATTTGAATCCTATTCATTAGGCATATAAACTATATTCATATTTTAATATAAGGAGTACATTTGGGGGATTCTGTACACATTTTCTTTTTGACATTGCCAGAAATCGAGATATCCTTTAAAAATTCATCAACCTTCATACGTAATAACATGAAAGAATTCATGCTTTAATATTTCCACTATTTGAACCTACTTTGGGAAGTAGTTTCTGTAGATAGTTTGTAAAAGCTTGAAGAATTGTTTTCCATACGCCTCTGATAATGCTTGACCACAAACCTGCCAAAAGAACAAGAATTTCATAAAATCATTAACTCGAATCAGAACTCACAAATACATTTTCATAGCACTCTGTCATTAGAGTAAATACTTTTAGAACAAAAGGAAAATAAAAGAAACAGTGTACGAATGGTACCTTTTGTTCAGGAATCACTATTAATATCATCTGTAGGAGTTTTCAACGTTTTTTTCGATAGTAATTCTCCATTTAAAAGGTTTGTCAACTACAATAAATAAAGTATGTGACAAACGGAATAACTGATTAGTACACTCCAAGTACAGTATGATAATGCACAAAATAACCACACATACAGGTACATTACTTGGGATTGTTGCATCAGGGACCCGTTTCACAAAGCCTTTTTGCAATGACAAATGACAAAAATCAGTGACAAATCTGCTGATAACCAATCAGAAGCAAGGATTTCAGTAGCTTAAAACAAAAACTGTCGTTTGTCACTGATGACAAGTTTTTTTGAAACCCTTCCCTGGTCTAGTAAAGCGCATGATAACCCCTTGTAATGTACATCTACGTAAAGAACCCATTAAGAAGACAATGATATCCAGTGGTTACCTCCAGGAAATCAAAGAGAGTGGTTGCTGTGATGTCTGGCTGAGGTTCAAGGTTCAAGACTCGTGAGATGAACATCCAGCCTCTCTCTACACCGTGAGGATGAGACTGCACAGAGAAAATGTTGTAATATGTGATTAAAAACCTGAGAATCCTGACACTAGTATACTATCACGATTATTATTTGTTAGCATAAATTTTAGGCAACATAATAGTGCAGACTAAAAAAAAAGGAAGGAATAGTCAACTATTCCTGTTTTCTCTTCAGAAACTAATTTATCGTACCTGAAACTAGGCAAATCATTTGTCACATTTTTTTACATGTCCCTCCATCTGTTTGTCTGTTTGTTTTATCCAACTGCTAAGGAAGTCCTCTCCGAGGGACTTGGTAATGAGGTTGAATACCTTACAAAAGGGCACTACTGCATCGACTTGGTTTCAAACCTGGGTCCTCCCAGTTACGAGACCTCTGCTCTACCACTGAGCCATCGATGCATCAATTGAGTAGTTCACTTCCTTCATCAACAACCCAGAGGGGAGAATACTTTTGAGAATTTACAATGCACATGGGGGAAGGGAAATCATGGCCTTCCTAAAAATGTACTTTTCAATGGCTGCTCCCAGTTTATATATACAGGTAGGTGTCATAATTATTTGATCTGAAGAAGAACAAAAATGCACACTACACTTTTCTGCTTTTAGCAAAATCATTTTGACATCGAAATGAAATTGAATTTCTTCTTGTAACAAGTTTGTGTGTGCAAGTGCACAGATATAAGCCTAGACAAGTAAATTCAGCACTTTTTTTATGAGGGGGGGGGGGGGGGTATGAAGAGTATGAAGGTGTTTTGGGAGTGAACACTTACCTGTCCTCTAAGTGGTGGTGTGGCAATGATAGCTGCATACAGTCTTGTGAATCCTGCCATACGCTTCAGGTATTTATCTTGCTTCTCTATCTGACCTTCGCTCTCATAGCAATATCCCAGAGATCTACAATACAGGCAAAAAGAAACATTGTAACTTTCATAGCAATACCGAAATATCTCAAATATATATGGATGTAATAACGTTATTATTCATCTATTTGCTTACTTCTTTATCATTTTTTATTCTTCAATTGTATGTTGCGTATTAAGGCATCAATCGCTCTGAAATCAAGATTTACATTAGTCAAATCCCCCACTTCTACCCAAACCAAATTCAACAGGTTCATGAAGCCCGATTCTAAAACTGACCCTAACTTTAAAAATTATTGTTATCCCAACCCGAACCCTATGCCTTTGACAAACTACAGTCAGCAAGAAAATTAGCTGGAACAAAGTGCAAAACATATTTGGCATGTTGCTGGTTTAATTCAGATAGAACAGACTAAGAATATTATTATCAACAACTTTCTGTCTCATGCATTTTGTCATTACCAGATCTCAACTTCACCCTTGAGGGGGTTACGAAAGATTGAGTAATTGATACATCAAGCTTGTCATCTTACTTGTAATACTCCTCGAGAGTCTGATCATCCTTTTTAGTCATATGATAAGGAACTAGGAAGGGACTGCTCTGATAGAAGTGATAGAGAAACAGGTCCCCCATGTCAGGTATATCCTGCCATAGCGCCACCGCTATCGCTGCGTAGGCAAACGCTGACTCGTGATTGGACGAGACCTGCTCGTCACCTTGTTTCTGTGAAAGAAAAAACAACAACAACAGATAAGTGTTGTGATACATTAAATACATTCACTTGAGAGGCAGATTGGGATGAAACATAATTTCTTTTATTTATTTATTTATTATTATTTCATTTGGCAAATCAAGTCATATAAATACATCAATATAACAAATATGAATTGAGACAAAATCAATAGAAAACATATATAAATATTGCAATAGCAGGTGCATCCGGTCAAGCTGCCTGGGTAGGGAAAAAGTTATCTTCATAACTATGATCCACAGACCTTTCCCCCCTTTTCTTGCTTTTATGATGCCTATCTCTCCTGTGTAATCATATTGCATCTCCTCAGAGTCGGAAGGTGTTAACTCGCATCATTTATCACAGGATTAACACCCTTTTAAGCCCTCAATACATAAACCTAATAGAGGCTTTTGGAATGGCACTCATATCTGTCATGCCGTGATGCACCTTGCAAGCCAACATCGTTATCCCAGTCATGGCAGAGCAGCCAGACGTAGCAATCTAGCAGATCTGATGCCTGTATAAACTTGAGCTGAGAATAGTAAATGTAGATTAATGTCTTGCCAGCTGGGCTGGGATTAAAACCCCCAACTTCTAGATTGAAAGCCAAGTGAATGAACCACTATACCCTGATACCTTTACACAAGTAGCCAATCTGCTAAATCAAGAATCTCATGATACCTACCACTAGCTTCTTAGCAGCAAGATCCTTGACATAGATCACGCCCGTTGGCTGGGTTGCCTTGACCCGACGGTTGGTCATCTGGACCTCGAGACCCGAGAGAAGGTCCTTGATACGATGGAGCTTGTCCAGGAGATGGGAGCCCGACTGGACGGACACCGAGTTGATGGGCGTGTTCACTGCTTTCTGAAGGTCAAACCGATACTTCTTCACCTGCAAGAAACAACAGAGTGACCACAATATAAACCAAATTTTTTCATTAAAACTGTAATATATGAACAACCTAGTGATAATCAGCTGGCCTATCAATCTTTATGTCCTTTATACATGTACAAGTAGTGCTTTTGTGGTAGTTTTACAATAAATTGAATGAATAAAAAAAAAAAAGGAAAAAGATAAGAAACAACAGAGTGCATTTGTATTTAGAAACAGACGCAATAAGTGATCATAGTACTAGCACCGCTCCTTTTTTCAAGAGCATCTGATACAAAGACAGTTCGATAGGGGGATACTCACATCCTTCCTATCAAGTTTAACAGAGAAAAGAGAGAAGGAAATAGTTACAAAAAAAACAACAAAAAAAACCCAGAGAAACAAAGGGGGGGGGGACAAAGAAAGAAAGAAAAACATGAGAACAATGTTTTCCCACTCTGTGTCCCTCCACATCCATTGAGAAAGTCTGGGGCTGGGACAGAAGAAATTCTCTTAATCATATTCCTGAGGAAACACTTTCATGTCCTCTAAATCTTTTTGCTCCTATCCCAAACAACACAATGCAAATAACTGTAAAAATGCAAAGCTGATGCCCATTTTCTTGTTATGACATTGCAAAGCTGCTACATAGAAATCTATGATGTGCAAATAATGTTAAATTCACAGCACAAGGAAAGTAAAGCAACCATTCTTACATCTTTATCAGTGGTTTTACTAAGTCCCTTGCAGCTTTCTTCCAACACCTTATGTTTCTCTTGAAGACCGGTGTAGTCATTTAGTGCATCTGGACTAACACATGATTCAAGTGGAACAGCTGTAAAATAAAGGGTAACAATCTTCAAACTGTTTCAGAACATACCTGACATCATTATGCAGTCAATTAATCCTATAGACGACAAAGAAATACTTAGTTTTCAAGTAAAAAGCAGGTAAATCAATTATCGGTACCGGTAATCAACTTGATAAGGAAATTTTGAAATGGTGATCAAACGTTTAAATCTGTGACTTGGGTTAACTCTTTGAAACAACTACCTTTTATTAAATCTATTTTCTTTTTCATCAAAACCAATAACAACGATATTAAAAACTAATTGTCAAAGCATTTGAACATTGCAGAACCCACACTCATATTCGACATGACAGAGAGTTTTCAAAGAGATGCAGCAAACTAACCCGTTGTTGATGATGATGATGGCTGGGGTTGTGTTGGTTCTGGTCTGGCTTCTGATTTCTTGGCTTTTACTTTCTCCTTCTCTTGTCTCTCCTTCTCTAGTCTCTCCTTCTCTAGCCTCTCCTTCTCTTTTTCTTTCCTTGCCACTTCTTCCTGAAATTTCCTTTCTGCTTCAGCTGCATTGAAAATAATAAAACATTTCATAAAATATTCTCCCCTCTGTACATCCTTTCTCGTCATATCTCATCAAATAAAGGAGGCGCAAATGGCACAGTGGTAGAGCAGTGGTCTTGTAACTGGGAGGTCCCTGGTTCGAAACCAAGTTGATGCGCTAGTGCCCTTTGGTAAGACATTAGTCCTCATTGCCAAGTCCCTTGGAGATGACTTAAAGCCCTGACTGCTTACACATGCTTTCTTAGCAGCCAGGTAAAATAAACGAATAAACAATACATACAATTATCTTTAAATAAATGAATTTCCCAAATCTCTCAACATAGTTGATATAATTTAATTTAATGTCACCATTATCAACAACCAAAATGAAATAGAAACATTGCAAAAATATGAAATATGAAAATATAAAAATGTATGAAAGCAACACACTATATATCCATTATCAACAACACCAGAAATAATGTGGTACAAATGATATATTGTGTTCAACAGTAAAATGGTTTGTAATGCAAACTTAACAAATGAAAGGCGAGCAAGAATATATACAAATCAATACAATCAAAATCAAGTCTATAACTGTAAGATTAAAGGAGAATGGTAATACTGGCCAGGCCTTAATATCTTTTTCATTAGCTCCACTATCATTATCGTTCATTCAAGAAAATATCATGACATGTACCTATTGCTCGGATGGCCTCTTCTTGTCTCAGCATGAGTTGATCAACGACTGCCTGCATGGTTCTCTCTGAACCTCTGAAAGACTCAACTTCTGAAGCTTCATGTACGAGTGAATCTAGAAGATAAAGCAATGCCATTCACATAAATGTCTATGAAATGGAAACTGTCACAGTTCTCTGTACATGCTGCCGAATTCCTATTTCATGTATACAAACAATAATAAAGATGAACACATAAAGTGCACAAAATTAAGTAGGAGAGTTTAAAAAAAATACTTTGTACTTCGTGGCTGTAGAACTTGCTGGCAATACATTTCTTTAATAAAAGAATTAAATGCAAATTTTTTTTTTTCTTCCTAAATGACATTAAAAATTGATGGCTAAGTTAGGACAACTTTCTTGTTAACAAAATAATGTGCAAGTAATGACTGGAATGCCCTTCATATGAAATTGATGGTGTAGAATCATCTGTTTGGTGCCAGAAGGACACTAACGGTAACCCATATACTTTAAAACAAAGTTAGTGCCCTTCTGGCTCCAAACAGACGATATAGCCTCAATATCACAGAGGAACATATTTTAACCATGGCCCCAAATATGTTTTTATTAAAGAAGAAGAATTAAAGAAGAAGTAAAGAAGAAAAAAAAAGGGTTACAAAATATAAAATTACTATTTGTTTTCCCTACAAGTTCTATAAATTCAATATCTACAGTGTACATGTTTAAATGAAATACTCACCAGCCTTTGTACATAATGCTTGGATCTGTATGGGGAGTTTGCTAGACTCCTTGGACAGGTGTTCCTTGTGAGAGCATGATTGGAGTAAATGGACTATCTTCTTAGCTGCTTCGTCCACCTGACTCTTTACTCGGCTTAAACTCTGCTGGAAGTCTTGCTGCTCTTTCGCTCTGAGTAATGTGATGGAGAAAAAAAAAGAAGAAAAAAAATCAATTGCTTGGAAGTTTGAAAATTGCTTTACTGTAAAAGATCGGCAAGCACAAATTTTAGAACTCACAAAAAATATAAGCACGACTTCTTATGCATGTTTAGAACGGGCTGAATTGCGTGCAACGCGAATTTAAGAACCAGCAAATATGTTTTGGGTCCGCTCAGCGCAAAAATAACAGCGTTTACAGAACCCTACAAAGGAAGGGAATCTACCCCTATCACCTTTTGAACTATCAGTTACCATGCTGCCAATAGACAAAACAGAATTTCATTGCTTGTGATTAATCGTTTTACCTGTATATTACAAGTGATAATGAATTAGCAATACATGTATTTTCAAAACCCTTAGAATAACTGAATAAACTCAAAGAGCTTATACACCATAAGATGCTCTATCTATTTGCCAAGTTTCATATGTTTGTCACTCCATGGCCAAGACCAGGGGCGGAGCTGCAAGATTAATAATTAACATTAGCCAAAATGTCATAATGCCCTAACTGTGACCATAACCATGCATGTGTATATGGACATTTTTCCTATGATTGAAAATGGTTGCTGGCCTAATTCTGACGATCGAGCATTTTAATTCTTCAAAAGATTAGATTAAACACTAGACTAAATTGATGTACAATGATAGAAAGCATCACCAATGGCATGGACAATTTTGAGCTGGCCAGTATGCCTAACACTTTCGAAAAACTTAGAAAAGTTTAATAATTGCCATTATCATTTCACAAAGAAGAACAAAAAATGATTTGAGTACATACCTTTTCCTCTTCTCCATTTCATCTGCTTCTCTTTGTTGGACGGCAGCTTTCAATTTAGCATCCAGCCTCTGTGGGGAAAATTAAACAAAAACATTTGTCAGTGATGAGTACCAAAGGAACTTACTTATCCTTGAATATAGGTTTAATATCTTTCAATATGTAAGGAAATTAAATCATTGTGGGGGAAATGAAATAGCACTACTGTAAAATTCAGATAGTTTTGCAACATGAATTTTTTTTTTTTCTTCATGGTTTGGACATGAGAGGGTTAGGGTCAGGCGTCTTATTATCTTCTCAAATAACCTTTGACATTTCCTTGATTAGGGTTAGGTATAGGGTTATGGTAAAGGTTAAGGTTATAATTAAGAGTCACAGTACCTTCACATGTAAGCTGTGGCATTCTTGTTGACTAGGATTAGGGATAAGGTAAGAGTAAGGGTACAGGTAACGATAAGGATTAGGGTTATAGGTCAGAATACCTTCACATGTACCCTGCCACATTCTTGTTGACTAGGTTTAGGGTAATGGTAGGGGTAAGGGTAGTGGGTAAGGGTAAGGGTGTAAGGATTAGGATTAGGAGTCGTATTACCTTCACATGTAATCTTTGAAGTTCTTGTTGATGTAAGAGTCTCTTTTCTCTCATCTCATCCATCTCTCTCTGGGCTTGTCTCTTCATCTGGACTATGGCCCGTTGCTTCAGTTCTCTCTGCTGGGCTTTGAGGGCCACGTTCTGTTCTGCCTGTTCCTGGACCTGCTTGGAGTGTTCCTGTAACTGCCACTGCCTCTCCTTTACTCTCTCCTATGTCAAGATTAAAAAATATAGGGATTTCATTATTTCAAACTACAGTCAAATCTGCTTTAATGACCACATTTTTTGTTTCCCTTGAAAATGGTTTCTCATTGAAACATGTACTAAAGGAACCTGTCTACAAAGACCACTTTTTGTGTTTTCCTTGGGCGGTCGTTGTAGACAGGTTTGACTGTAAAGGTAAATGTAGAAAACGTTATGCTCCACTTCATAAATACAAACCTCATGTACATGTATGAGGCACAAAACAGTGTTTTTATAATGTAAATAAAACTGTTCATCAATTTCTAGTGCTAGTTATATTCTTACCCTTGTTTAACCAGTTGACCTTTAAAAGGCAGGCATGAACACTTTAATAATCAAGTTTATCTGAAAACCTCCCATCTAGTCATAATGGTACATTTCTAAAATACCGTAACAAATAAACCTTTGACTTGTATTGGGTGAATACAATATTATAACAGAGTGCAAGTTCTTTAATGCTAAAGGACTTAAAGCCCCATTGTCCTACTAGCTCCCTCTGTATAGAAAACAATACCTAATTGGTGACCATTGGTCCCCCATGATCCTCTTATTCTTATGTTAATTGAGAGCTGAATTGATGAGATAGCCACCTGTCACTGACCACGCTATGTGGTCTAATCCCTCCTGGCCAAACTAGTACAGCCAGCTTTTAAGTTCATGAGAAAAGCTAAACTAGATTCATTGAAACTAACAGACCTCTTCAAGTTATGACCACTATCTTCCAGGCCTTAAATTTCAATATTTTAGGGCAAGGCCACTTTTCTGTAGGGCACATTCCTATATTACAGCACAAATAGGAAGAATTGGAAAGGGCACACAAAATCTTCAAGGCCAATGAGAGGGGCATTGAGGCCAATCAAAAGGGCATCCACGGCCATGGCGTTGGGTTTTGGATTAATTTAAGCCCTGATCTTCCTTTACTAAATGCTACAAATGTTTTTCTTTAACAATATCGCCCTGAGGTGGTTGTAACAAGTGCATGAGTATTTTGCAAATCTTGATAGAAATTCTTCGTCAAACTCTGATATCAAACAAATCTTAATTACCTTTTGTTTCCACACCAAAACAAAGAATTCATTTATTCATTCATTTATTTATTGTTCCAATGTACATTCAAACATGGAATATTGTTTTGCTCACATTAATAGAAACTTGCTCAAGTAGTTTACATTGTTTTGAACATACAAAAGATAACTATTGGATAAGGTTGCGACTACTCGCACTGTTGACAACCACTCGAGTACGATTTCTCATACTCGAATACTCGGCCGTCACTTGGCACTCTTCAGGCCAACGCTTTTTTTAATAAAAATCTAAATCTAAATTTAAAATAAACACATTGTGTTTGAGTATTCGCCTGTAAGCCTGGGAGAGTACACGAGTACCTCATTACACGGTTATGCACAGCCTTAATATTGGATATCTTTTGTCATTGAACTGACCTTGACAATCTTCTCCCACTCCTGCTCACATTGGAAGATTGCACGCTCAACATTGCTGCTCTCATTCAACTCAACAGGGCTGGTGTCCAAAGCTTTCCTATTCATACAAACAAATCAGAAGAATAGAATACTGTTAAACACAAACGATCTAGTCAGATGACATATTAATAAAATAATAGATCAGAAAACATGTTGCATCTGAGTGGAATGGTGAAATAAAACTTATGATCATTTCAGATAAAAGGGCACAACTGTGACTACGGTAATAAGTCCCTTTCAAGAAAATCTATTATCAGACTATACTTGAGAGTACAACTACTTCTGATATGATTATTATTTTGAGACAAACGTATGATTTTGGATTGAAATAAATAGCAAAAATACTTGGAAAAAAGAATCTCACAGTAAAATTCACAAGATAATAAATTGAACAATCCAGCTACAAGAGCAAGAATTTCTTTCTTTTATAAAAATAATAAAAAAATATAAAAAAATCAGCAGTCAGCATGACGATTAACACGATGAAGTGAGACTAAAAATTTGATAATACCTTCTGCTGTAGTTATGGTCCACCTCTACATCATTGGCCGTGATACTGTCATTTCTCCGCTGTCTAGTCTCTGGAGATTCTCTCTGTTCTTCTCTGACAGGGGAAGCAATCTGGGTCTTAGAGAGTGCAGCGGTGAGCAGATCCACTGACACAGAAGGAGGAGATGAACAATAGGCAACCACATCCTGGACAAAAATAAAAAACAAGTTCAAAGAGCTAGCAGAGAGACGGTACGGAGTGATGATGTTGACATCGAAGCCGTTAACGGAGGATTCCCGGTGTCGGAGGTGATCCAATTTCAGGTGAAAAATGCCATATACGATTACGATTAAGATTAGTAAAAAATTTGGGCCAAAGTTCGTTTGCTAACAAATGGATATATTATAGGCTAGACTAAAAAATTACTAGCTTAAAATGGATAAAAATGGATACGAAAGTACACTAGCGCCATCACTCCTTTATTCATTTATTGCTTGACCAATTTTAAAGTGCTTTTTATGAGAGGAAAGAAGACTGAAGAGTTCACTAGGCTACTAGTACTGGCTCGATAGAGTCCAAGGCAAAGGCAAATTCACTGTGCCAGTGTGCTGTGCATTGTATTCCGAATCCAGTTCCGTATTTTCATATGAAATGACTAACAAAAGTTAGACCTAATCAAGAACAATGTCAATAACTCAATATAATGTTAATTAATAACAACCTATTTTAATTATAAAACAGCTACAGTATGAAGGGAAGGCTCCAGCCTCCAGCAACTTTATCCTCTTACAAGTGACAACATTTTTTTTTAAAGACGACGCACTTTTGATCTTGACAAAGTCGAACAATGTACCACACCAAGAAACAAATACATGGGACTGAAGAAATGTAACGAACCTCGACACGTCCATCCTCGAGCCAATATTTGTCGTAAATAAGGTTCCCCTTTTTTGACGTTCGAAGTCCTTCAAGTGTCGAAGTACTCATAGTGAAAATATGTAGAAATTATCATCAAATGCATTAAAAAAAGTTTGTTTGACCCAGCGGATATTTCGAAAAAAAAGCTAAACGTGAATGCTACGATGTCGTCGAAGTACAAACAAAAAGTAATGGACTCTTTCATGAAAGTAAGAACACGGGCGAGATCGTGAGACATATGTGAAGCTCTCCTGTTGGTCTCTTTTCTTTTCTTTTCTTTTCTTTCCCTCTCTTTCTTATTTCATTCTCTCTTTCTTTCTTTACCGGCACTTAATTTCTGTATTAATCTATTCCTTTCTTTTCTTCTTGCTTTCTTTCTTTTTAAACAACACCCTCTTTGAAACCCCTTCCTTTTAAAAAACAAATGTATTAAAAGTGATTCTTCAGCTCTCTTGATTGTCTTTTTGTTATGTTTTATTTTCATTCTGTAGTAAAATTGACAGAACGTAATTCTTTCATTGATTTATTGTCAACCTCTGAATTGATCATTCTTAGCTGTTGCCAAAGTCCCCTTTTTATTCCTTTCATTCTTTCTTTTCTTCACAGCTGAAGTTTGACGATTTCCAAATAAAAAATTAGTAAATAAGTTATTATAATTTATCACTCGCTCTCAAAAATTACAATATAGGCCTAACACTCACAGCTGTTGACCATATCATTCCAAGCAGTACACAAAGCAATTAGGTAATGAATTGTTCAACTGTGATAGACACTTTTGTTATCCTCCTCATCTGTAATTATGAGTATTGTCGCCATCAACACAACCATTTCAGAACCAAAGTCATTATTACACTATAATCATCCAAATCATCATAATCATAACAATGAGTAATAGCATCTCCATCATCGTCACAGTAATCATTATCATCCTCTCAGTCTCAATCATCAACATCATAATCATCACCACTGCCATCATCATCATAATCATCACCACCATCATCATCATAACCTTCACCACCACCATCATCACAATCATCAACATCTTAATGAAAATGTGTTTATATATTTGTCTGCAATGTGAAATCATTTGTCTTACATTGTTGAACACAAAAATAAAAGTAAAAAAAAAAAAAAAAATCCATCACCATCATCAAAATCATTATCACACCTTATTCCTTTTTCAAAATCACAATCCTTACTTCAAAAGTTCAAATCATACTCTGATAGTTCAGAAAATTCTGATAGGCAAATCGTCTATGTTTAGCTACATTAATTGTTTTATTGAATTCTGTACCTAATTCTGTTCCACAGGACCTTAGTCACTTAATAAAGAAGATATACAAAATGCGTAGAACCTAACCTGATCTGAACACACAATCAAAACTTTAGAAACACAACTTGTATATAAAATGTATATTACATTGAACACATTCATAAGAGTTTTACATACCTCAACCACTAAATTACACAATTTCAGTTGTTGGTTAAAATCCAATAAAATCTATTCATTCTATGTACATGGACACTTCGTCCTCGTATAACATTAAAAACTAACAACCATATCTATCCCGTAATAAAATAACTGATACATTTTAATTTTTTTCTAATCAGGAAGATTTCCTAATAAACAAACAATCTACAATCTGATGGAGGTAATGCTTTCATTGCTAAAGAAAGCCTATCATGTCGAATTACTTCCCCTTTTATCTAAACCGTGACATCTTTTACATCATTTTGAAAAATGCCTCTCAATTGTAGAATACACTCTCTTAGCTACTTAACAGACTTCATAAGTCCATACATATTCTAGGTACTATTTAACACTTTCAAAGAATAATGTGATATAATTGTAGGCCTACATGTACCTATCTTGAAATCTAGTGGAATTTCATACCCAATACAGTCATTGTTTAAAATGTTCACAGACAATTTTGGTGAGTTTCTTATGTGCTTTCTGCTCCCAATTACAAAAGGCACTAAGAAAAACAATGTCAACATCCGAATTTAACTTTGTGATGATATATCTTCCACCATGTAACTTTTGCTAACCTTGTGGTCCCCAACTCTTTGTGCACCCCACCCATACAAGGATAAATATTATTCAAAGCTACCATAGCAATCATCGATACCTATCACTTTCTTTACAATCATATTTGCATAAGGTCAATAATTATTTGCATAGAAACAACTTTTATAAGATCCATTAGCAGGGTTTCATGTAACTCCGGGCATAAACAAGTACCGGTAATCAAAATAAACCTGAAGTATGAGACACAAATGAGAGTAGTATTTTGTGAAATCCCCTGTTTTTAAATTACCTACATGTATCTACCAAGGTATTTTCAAGAAATGCATGGTCTTTCTGGGGGGGGGGGGGGGGGAGTTACTTATGATTTGATTGTGTGGACTACATATTTAGCATATATCTTTCCTGTGCAGTGAACCTATATTATCATATGTCATATATAAATTCATCACACTATAAACAGTCACAAATGCCTCAATACAGCCTATCTGTCATGCATATTCTTGTAATTCTCTATACCAAACATAAATATCTATGTTTGACAGTTTAAATCTATATAATATATATAACATAAGTGTCTTGTTCCAACAAACACAATAAACACAATCAATAATTTCATTTCAAGAATGTCTAACTATTTTTTTTACTTTACCATCATAAATCTAAGAAATTACCATCATACCTGTACATCTAAGAAAATCTGTTAAATTTTCATAATCAAGGTGCATTTGCTTCCAATGGCACTTTTAGGTCAGTAATGAATTGCATAATTATTTTATCTTCTAAAATTATCCACAAAAGACAAATATGTCATGAGTTCAAAAAGAAGTGTATATCATAGAATATAAGACATATATGAGAGGTAGGATATAAGAATTTCTGTTGCTTTTTAGACTAATCCTTTTGGAATGTAAAGGCAAATAGAATTTTAAAGATATAACACATCTAAAGGGCTTAAGTTATTGGTTAATATTGTAAAGTTGGTCACAGAGAGCATTGCCAATCCGGGAACATGTTGAATAATGTAATATATACATGTAGATAAACTCTGCAAAGCGCAAGTATAATTAATTATGTTAGGATAAACTTTGCAAACCCCAAAAGATAGTTAAATTTATTTTACTCAGGTTCTGCAGTATTAGAATAATTCAAATATATGTGTTTCTATTACATGTATTTAAAAGCTAAAGAATTGAAAATTAAGTCTTGAGTAACAAAATAACTTATTTTCATTATTCAAGCAGTACATCTGCACTAAATGAAATTATAAAGGCAATGCCTGTTTACATGAATTCTTCTAAAGTTAAAAAAAATAAATCACAATTTAGGCTAGATTAAGCATAGGAGTACGTCTTTGACTAGTCATAATAATTTAGGAAATGGTGATTTCTAATATAATGGTTTCTGAAAGCCAAAGGTATATTTTTACTCCCATGACATTGACTTCCAGTGTAAAATATACTTTTCTATTTAGGATTTAGTGCTCTTTAAGCGAACATTTCTCATAGTGATAGGAAAGTATTTCATTGTTGTTTTTTTTTACCAGAGCTATTTTCGATTTACCATAGCACTTTGGGGGCTTTTGAGAGCTAAATTTTTCATCACTCCTTTTTTTTCCTTTTCCCCACTGATGACTACCAAGTTTAGACATCAATAAAATATGCATTATTCAAAAGTGAAACAATGAAAATGCACAGAAAGAGACATACAGTGCAACTATGACAAGTGAACAATGTATAAAATCTTTTTTTTTGTCAATAGATATCAATAATCTACATTTGCTTGAAGAAAATAAATAATACCTCTTATATGAGGTTGAAATTAAATTGTCGCACTTCAAAAAAGTACAAAGCCTACTATCATTTGCATCACAAAACCATTACGGTATTGCTTGAAATGAAGTAGACACCCTCACAACAAGTCTACTTTATATCAAGAAATACTGTATGCACCCACAAACAGATGATATTCATAGGCTCACTATTCAAGCACAATCGTCAGTTTCTATTGTAACGTATATCGACATATATATATATATATATATATATATATATATATATATAAAGAGAGAGAGAGAGAAAGAGAGAGACAGACAGACAGAGAAGGGAAGCGAGAGAGAGAGACAGAGAAGGGAAGAGAGAGAGAGAGAGACAGAGAAGGGAAGAGAGAGAGAGAAAGAGAGAGACAGAGAAGGAAGGAGAGAGAAAGAGAGAGAGAGAGAGAGCAGAGAGAAATAGAGGGGAAGAAAGATGGAAAAAGAAAAGATAGCGAATAATCAAAATTGTATTCGCCACTGAAGACTTTAAAGGAGAGAAAGAGCGATGGAAAGAGTAATCTAGAGAGCGGGAGAGAGAAGAGAGAGAGAGAGAGAGAGAGAGAAAGAGAAAGAGAGAGAGAGAGAGAGAAAGAGAGAGGGGGGATCACTTACTTCCACTTCTTAAACATAGAAATAAAGAAATTGCTTTGGTTGTCTTGAGTTTGTTCTCTAAAAGTTCAGCTCAGCTCAGCATCGATGTATTGCATTAGGAGTTGCTTTACAATATAGAATACACAATGTCTAAATCTAATATTTGATTCTTTAAACTCATATCGAGAAGAAAATGTAAAACATATTCTCTTTAATTTATCATGCAAACCATTGCCTGTGAGTTGCTTATACTTCTAAATTATCAAAAATTTATTGAATCTACACAATTAATGAGAGCATGTTTATCAGTCATGCAAAATAGTAGACCATTTCATTTACATGGACATAGACAATATGTCTTTATCTCATACTTCTCTGTCAAGAACTTTCCTAGACAGATCTCTAGTTTAATGAGTCTCTAATTGTATGCCATATAATAGCTGAGCAGTGATTTAAGACATAATGCACTAATCCCCGATGAGAACATTATCTAATCTCATGAGATCAAAACCTGGAAATACATGTTGCCCTTGAAACTGTCCACTGCTTCTGCTTGTCCAGGGATCCCTTTCACAAAGCCTTTTTTCAATGACAAATCCGCTGATAACCAATCAAAAGCAAGGATTTCCGTAGCTTATAACAACAACTGTCATTTGTCACTGATGACAAGTTTTGTGAAACACCCCCCAGAAGTGCAGTTCATCCTGGTAGTATCGCCAAGCAGCATTGAAGGGTGCAACTGACACAGCCACGAGTTAAGGCCTATGGATGAATCCAGGATGTCTATGACGAAGGCCACCCTGATCATAAACTCCATGAAAATGGAATCTCTACATGCATACGAAGGTTCTGCAAAACTGGCAACAACATACGGGTAGAGGTTTGTAGATTCTTTCAGCAGGTATCAGCGGGGATTATCAGGTTTGGTCAGCGACGACTGACTGCTGGCAGCCGCAAGCTTGTTCTTCATAATGGCAGCCAGTTTAGGGTCTCTAGGGAGGGACCTTGTTCGTGTTCTACTCTTTGGTTTGAGGGTGATAGGCATGGATTTATGCTGGACAGGAGAGGACTTCTTTGTTGAGCTATCTCGCTTCTCCTTCTTGGAATCAAGACCAAGGTCCATTATGATCACATCCTCAACGGTTCCATCGTAAGAGGGTTTCTTCTGACGGGGGGATGGTGTACTGGAGGTCCGACGTATAGGACTCGACCCTTTCTTGTTGAGTGAGCTACGCCTGTTCACCTGCGGCATGGAGTTCACTTTGGAGTAGTCCGAGATGAGTTCTGGACTCTGTCCATTCTTCTCAGAGACAGAGCCACCGGGGAAGTGGTGCCCGACTGAGCTCCTCCTGGGTTTCTGTTTTGGGGAACTTGTGATCACATTCACGCCATTTTTAATCACAAGATCTTTAGCATGTTTAGACGAGTTGAGACCACCCTTACCGTCTTTCCTCCCACTGTTCCGATTGATGTTGTTATTGTTCGCGTTGGCGTCTACAGCATTCTGAACGACCATGTTTTGAAGTCCCTGTGATAAGTCCACCTCTTCACCACTGACCGTTGGCGTGTTCCCACCCGGGTCTTCCTCACTGGGGGTAACAATTTCACTTTCAACGTTTCCGGAGTCCTTCTCCTGATCTCCTTCACCCGACACAACCACTTGTTCTCTTTCGCTTTCGCTCCCCGCTTCCTTGGCCGACCTGAACGGATTCAGGAACACGACCATGACCGTGATGTTGTCGCTGGAACCTGCCTCTTTTGCCATGGTAACCAGAGTGGGGGCCATTCCCGAGAGGTCCGCCCCTGACTCAATAAATTCCTGTATGGCGGTGCATGCTCCCTCTGGTGTGATCACATCCCAAAGTCCATCACAGGCGATGATGATGCACTCCTCTGTTCCATCTAGAGGTAGAATGGCGGTATCTGCTTCGCTGCTAACATAGGGCTTGTAATCAGGGTCACCTGGGAGAGGAAAAAATAGAAGAAAAAAAATAATGTTGTTATTTCCCATTAGACTCAGTGGCATAGCAAGGGTCAAGCTGTTGTATTGCCCTTTTGGACCGACCCAAAAATATTTAAATCTATGGTCAGCTTTTACATTAAAAAAACAACAAACCATTTTTCAAGATAAAAACATTTATTGGTAATGAATACAAAAATAAGTTTTAAAGCAATATAAAATGAAAAATATCAACCCAAAGAGGGAGGGGGAAAAAAAAAGAAAAAGAAAAAGAAAAAAGATTTCTGAACAACTGACCCATGTTTTGCCACCTAAAGGGCAATAGAACATCTTTTTTTTAAGGCCTTATGGGTACACTGCTATCATTTGGGGCGGGTGGGTTGGACACCCGTTTACTACATGGATAGAAATTCAATAGTACAAAGCAATCGGTGAGGATCGATCAAATAGAGAAAGTGTTCTTTGATCATCTGTTTGGTGCGATGACATGTTTAATAAACAGATTAATATAAATGTAGGTAACCATGCACAATTATTTTCATTTTTAATTTGTAGATCTCATCAATCACTGTACCAAAGCTGAATTTGTCTCCTATTAACAAAGAGTGCTTATCTTAATTACCAGCTAAACAAGTCCAAGTGACTCATTTCAACAAATTCAATTAACAACCAAGACATTAAGAAACAAACTGGCAAACAGGTATAATTTACACTTCACTGATACCATAGAAAATGTGATTTCTTGGTGTTAAGAGCCTGTTTCTATAACAACATGCAAACAAAGGTTTACATCATACAGCTAAGCACTGTCATGAGATAAGAATTCAAAGGGATGTTCCAGGAAAGTACATCCATAAAAAAGCAGTACAGTCACCAATGATTCAGGTAGTAGCTAGTCTCACTTCTAAGCAAAACTACCAACAATTTTCATCCTTCGCAAAATTAGGATTATCATCTCAATCTGACATACAGACTTCAAGGGAAAGTTTATGTAAATTCATAGTATTTTACTAGTAATCTAAGGTACCGGTAGTAGAAATGGTATTTCTTATGAACCTGTATGCATATTTTTCCCCATATATTTATCTACTTCTACTTTGACATTGGCTGACAGTCTTTTCATTGTATTTAATGTAAAGCATATCGAAGTGATTAATGTAATGCTTTTATAAATGTATCATATATTTTCACTTCAAAGTTGGAGTATGTAAAAAAAAAATATTAAAAAAATGAATCAGGGCCCCGGTCCACAAAACTTACCATTGATGGTAACTTTGCCATCAATCGCAACTACCATGGAAACCTTGATTTTGATTGGCTGTTGAGCCCTGTTACCATGGTAGTCGCCATTGATGGCAAAGTTACCATCAATGGTAAGTTTTATGCAACGGGACCCAGATATTGTATCCAGGGCAAAAGTGTAATTAATATCTTGAATTAAAAAAAAACCCTCTTGTCCTGGAGTCTAAACTAGATTGTACAATAAGCAGAAATGCTCTAAAGTTAGCGACGGGTCAAAGTCCATCACTAGGCACGCTATCTGATATGACTGACTGCTGCCTGGATATAGGTCTAGGTCAATTACCCCATCTACAGATAGGTGCAAAGAGGTCTGACAAACACACTTGAAGGCCAAGCATTATCTGGAGAAGATCGTGAACTGGCATATATACTCCAGTAACATTTCCTCTGGACTATTTCGTCAAAAATAAAGGATTAGGGACGATCTCAGTCAGACTCAGGGACCGCCGCCTTCGTTTCAGTGGTCATTGCTGGAGGAGCAAGAGTGAAATCATTTCACAAATGCTTTTCTGGGAGCCCTCAAGGGGCAAACACATCAGAGATCGCCCAGCAATGACTTATATTGACCAAGTTCGAAAAAAGACACCTGTTTACCAAGGCAGCAGCTCCCAAAGATGATGGAAAATAGAACTGAATGGAAAAAGCTCGTCAAATCAGTGCGAGTACGCTCGACCTAGTAGTAGTGTGGGATAGGGTTGCTATTAGGGATTTGTAATCAATGGTGGCTTTAAAGTGTACCAAACACCGACAATAATTTGTTCTGTATGTTAATAATTCTATGTTGTAATGCTATATTAAAAATACAATATTCAAATATTACTTCCGTTATGAAAGAGATTTAGCAAGTTTAAATACACTCTCAATTAGTACTACAAGTCATGAGTAGACTACATCTCATCTGTATGTGTTCGCATAAAATAGTGTCAGCATGGAACCAAAGTCGGACTAGGGTTTTATGCTATTCCTTATTTTCTTCATACTCCTTGGCCCGTTGCACAAAACTTACCATTTATGGTAACTTTGCCATCAATGGTAACTACCATGGAAACCTTGATTTTGATTGGCTGTTGAGCCCTGTTACCATGGTAGTTGCCATTGGTGGCAAAGTTACCATCAATGGTAAGTTTTATGCAACAGGGTCCGTATCTGTTTAATATTCGGTTAGTACTAAAAATCAACTACAGAGTGTGTCACAAAAGCATGTGTCGTAGAAAAGAAAAGATCCATTGCTTTTTTTTCCTATTTAAATCGTGTTAGAGATATTGAGTATGAGATGAATATATATATGTATATATGCAGTCAAACCTGCTTTAGTGACCACCTGTCTACAAAGACCACCTGTCTACAAAGACCACATTTTATGTTTCCCTTGAAAATGGTTTCTCATTAAACATGTACTAAAGGAACCTGTCTACAAAGACCATTTTTTGTGTTTCCCCTTGGCAGTCGCTATAGACAGGTTTGACTGTATATACATGTATATATATATATATACTGGCAGGGCCGTGGCCAGAGTTTAATGTTTGGGGGGGGGGGGGCACATACATGTAATTGATCGACGTCCTGGGGAGGGGTCTAAAAAATTTCAACCTCCATAGGTGAAACTGATATCAATCATTATAATACTGCCAATCAGGTTCTCCTGTATTCACGCTCGAGGCCATACTGCATGATTATTATCCTAAGTCGATCCCATGCAGCTAGGGCCTTGCGAGAGCTTTACCTATTGATCTTGATACAGCTAGACTTCCATTAACTCTCCATGCTCCAAACCAGACCACACAGCCTCCCAGATCCTCTATCCTCTTCTTCTCATCCTGTAAAACAGATAACCATAAGATTTCAGTATCTATACATTGGATGTGATCCACGTCCAAACAGATAGTCAGTCTTAAAGATAAAGTTGAGTTCTGGTCATGCGATTGCATTGTGAAAGAAACAGTGTGGAATCGATCAGAAAAGATAAGTATTGGCAGGTGTATAAGTATTTGTGTGTATTGCAATTTGCAAGGTTCTGGAATCCTCAAAATGATAAAAAATTTGGCCAAGTCTTGGTAAAGTTACAAGCACTGTACACAAAAAGATGTATATGGGACTACGCGATATCTATCCGGCAAAATTTGTATCATCAAGTATTAGTCAAAACATATTCTTTCACATGATTGGTAATAAGAGCTTCCATTTCTTTTTTTGAGAGAGGGGCGTGTCCCAAACTGGTCTAACGGTATACCTTTAACACCAGTAAAGTAAAAATGTTTGTAATTGGCTGCTTCTGAAGCTGTGTGCGATTCTCACCTCTCTGTCTGGTTTGTGTGGGTCCATGATGATAACCGGTTTGCAATCTCTCATAAGAACAGCCTGTGAATCTCCTAGCCATGCTAGATGAATGGTATCTGGCTCTATCACCACTGCTACTCCTGTGCTTCCACTCCGCAGACCCTGGATGATACAAAAAAACAGGTTCAGATAGAACTTAGTTATATGTTTTTTAGGCTTACTTGAAGCTCAGATGCAGCGAGAAAAAAAAAATAATTAGAGGAGGGGGGTTTTATATGTAGCTCTGGGGGGTGTTTCACAAAACTTGTCATCAGTGACAAATGACAGTATTTGTTATAAACTGAAATCCTTGCTTCTGATTGGTTATCGGCAGATTTGTCACTGATTTTGTCATTTGTCATTGAAAAAAGGCTTTGTGAAACAGGTCCCTTGTCTCCTGGAAAGCTTTAAAAGAACTGTAGATATGAATAAAAAGTCCTCTAAAACACTAAATAACTCAAAATCCATGGAAGAAAATCTTGACTTGACTAATTAAAGTCCAAGCAGAGTTCTGGTGAACAGAGAGGTATTTTCAAACACTGCACTGTCACTATCAATCATTAAACAAATGTCAGTCATAACAAACATTTAAAATCAAACTTTTACATTGGTGTTTGCTCAGATGCCTTTTGCATAGGCGGCTACTTATGCAGTCATTAACCCAAGACATGCCATAAGACTAGATTCGTTTTGTAATAATGATCAAAATAATTATCAGAAGGCTAACCCTTCCATACAATCTAGACTGACAGGGATTGGTGGAGAAAGAAGCAAGAGAGGGGTCGAGACCAATCTTGGTCTTAAAATGTTGGTGCCTTGGTCTTGGCCTCGACCCCTAGATGTGTTGTGAAATGAACTTAATAATAAGTTTTCCTGGCCTCAGGACCCCTGGAGCCTGTTTCATAAAACTTGTGATCAATAACAAATACAAAAATTCTGTGACAAATTTGCTCTCATGAGCCAATCAAATTCCATGATTTCAGTAGCTTATAACAGTAGCTTGTAACTTGTTATTGATGACAAGTTTTATGAAACAGGGCCCTGGTCTTGCCTACCACACTGGATATAAAGTGCATGCAAAGGATCATACCTCCGTTATTTTCTTTAAAGATAAAGACCAGTTCTGGTCATGTGATTGCATTGTGAAAGAAATGTTGTGGAATCGATCAGAAAAGGATGATCATCTAGAATATAAGTATTGGTGTGTACTGCAAGGTTCTGGAATCATCAAAATGATAGGAAATTTGGCCCAGTCTTGGTAAAGTTTCAAGCACTGTACACAGAAAGATGTATATGGGACTACCCTACATCTATCCAGTCCTGGTAGATATAATAATTTACCAAATATATCAATTAGTAGGCGGTTCCCGGCAAAATTTGTAACATCACGTATTAGTCAAAACATAGTCTTTCACATGATTGGTAATAGTGTAATAACGTAATAATGGAGGCGTTTCCAAAACTGGTCTTAACCTTTCAAAGTTGTAAGTCTCCCTAAAGCAATAGAATATTGCATGTATCGGAACTAATGACAAGGCTGTAAAAAAGTAGAGCACTTCGCCTTATCAACTGAGAGTAATAATCAATACTTTAATCATGCATGGAATGTGTCTCCTTGAAAATATTGATTAATTGCAAAGTCAAGGAAACTCTTTCTTTCTTTCCCCACTCTTAATTAGAACAATGGGTACTTAATCTATAGTGGTTAGTTTAGTATTCCCAACATTCAAGGAAAGGGAGGGCTTGCAATCATATTAACAAACTAAAGCACACAGATGACATGAATTTCAAGTTCAGCCAGTTTCATATATGATTGTTTATGAGCCAATAGAATATTACATGTTTGTGAGTCAGCCAGTGTCTAAGCTTGGTTTTAACATGGAGATATTCTTATATCTCCATGGTTTTAACATTCAACAAATTTCTCTCATCACAAGTATATTCACAAGCTTTCATTTTAGCATGCAAGATTTTGATTTATCCCTGTTTCGAGGCACAGTTTTGGCATAAACTCATCACACTTCCATTGTTTTCCAGAATTCGGCCCATTTTATTTCAAATTAAAAGAATTGCCAGATCCTGGAGTTCTGGACTAGTCTATGGTTAGGCTCTTTTATCCTCCAAACAACCTCAGTTAAAAAACATTTTCATACAAACTATTAACATAAATCAAGCTCCTGAGATCTATTTTCACGCACTCTGCTGATCTGTGAAGACATAAACAACACGTCGCAGAACCTGCCTACAGAGACAACCTGTCTACAGTGACCACTTGTCTATTTCCCTTAGGTTTTTGGCCTATATAGAGATGTTAGACTGCAGTAAGTCAACTCTTGACCACTTATAAATCAAGAACTTAAAAAATAAATGAAATATATGCTGTAAAAACTACAAGAAAGACTACCTGTTTAAAGTGGCAACTTGTCTATTTCCCTTAGGTTTTTGGCCTACATGTACATGTATATAGACATGTTTGACTGCAGTAAGTCAACTCATGACTTCCTATCAAGAAATGAAAGGAATGAAATATATTCGGTAAAACCTTCTAGAAAGGCTACCTGTCTATAGAGGCCACTTGGCCCTTTCTCTTTAGTGACCTAAATTGACAGGCTTGACTGTAGGTCAAAGTTTGTAATGAAAGTAAGAAAATGTGTATTGTAAAACCTGTATAGAACAGCCACCTGTTTACAGTGGCCATGTGCTCATTTCTCTTTAGTGACTTCTATAAATGGGTCTGATTTTTTAAAATAAATGTTAATGATTTCCTCTCAGGTAATGAAAAGATGGATCTCACCTCTCTCCCAGCTTTCTGAATGAAAGCATCGTCCGTCTCATTGAATGCTTTCTTCAAGGCATTGGTAGGGCTCTCGATGAAGTCCGGCTGACTGACGGTGTGTAGATGCAGATGAGCTGCAGCATAGTACGATGCGTCTACACCACCATGGCCGTCGTATACAGCATAGAAGGCACGAGGTTTATCATCAGGATCCTAATGTAGAGAATAATAATAATACTCCACTTTTATATTGTAGCGTTAATACATCTATGATGTCTCTAATCTAAGCACTTTACAGATACATGTACATGTATACTATTACCCCCGTCATTGGATTCAATGCTTGCCCCCACACACTGTGTGTGCCATCTCAACTCCCTGGGGAGTATTCCAGCCAGGCCTTACTTTACCCTAAAATACTGTTTGACCAACAATGAAAGTCACATCCTACTGGGTACCCATTTAACACCTGGGTGGAGAGTAGCAAGTGCAGGTTAATATTTTGCCAAAGGATGTTAGTGCCATATTAGGATTTGAACCCTTGACTTTCTTATCTCCATGCAGTCAAGCGCCTTAAACCACTTTGCCATCAGTGAGTGAAAAGAGTTACCAGGGAAAAAATACACAGGGGCTCGGGGCAAATTAGCCCCCGAAATGCCAAAAAGAGCCCGCGAAAGTCATAAAAGAGCCCCCCGAAATTGCATAGAGTTCAATTAAAAACAAAATAAAGAGTGTTATTTTCCTGCAAGCAAGCTTGAAAAGTAGCCCCCAAAATTGTTAAAGTATTTTTTTTCCCTGAGAGTTACAGGGATGATGTAATCGGATATTGTTTATAGACAGATAAACTGACTTTCATTGTAGATCTACTAATAGACCCATCCGGTTAATGAGAGATGATGAGAGATGATTCAATGTCTTATGTAATCAGACAGGTGCATGGTTGCCCCTGAATGGCAGCAGGATATTTCACCTATCATTTAGCATCCTCAATAGCCCCAGTGATGGTGACTGACACTTCCATGTTCAGCCCTCTGAAGAGGTGTATGCATGTACATGTACATGAATTAAAACCTTTTTTCTCTCTCCATCCCTCCTTCCCTCACCCGACCTTTAACAGGCTTTGTTAAAAACTGAGTCACATCTTTCTACCAGTGATATTAAGGCTATTAAACCCCAGGGGGGTGTTTCAGAAGGATCTTAAGTCTAACTTAAATGTTATGGGAAGCCATTTAAAGTATTTTACACTTTTCATAAATTACACATCAAGAACATGAAATCTCCTTGATAATAGAAAATATGGATGATTTGAATTAACATTTTATGCCTTCTCAAATAACTTTTACAAAATATTTGCAAAGATGCTAACGGATTTCTTTAATGTTTAAGTCCAACTTAGACATACATGTACAGTGTAAGTTCAACGTAGGATCTTTGTGAAACACCCCCCCCCCCCACCCCCAGATGTATCTGATTGATAAAGTCATTTATCTGACTGATAATGATATCTGTTTGAGCTCTTTTACCTTTAATCTTGATTTGAACATGGTGTTGATGTCTTGTAAGACCACATGTTTGTCCTCCATTTTCCTCCTGGTGTTCCTGACAGCGTGAAGCGACACTGTGTGGATGCCAGGACCCACATTGACAGGAGGCATACTGGTGTTCCACTCCTCACATATCCTGTGTACGGTGCTGAAGACGTACCGCGCAAACCCGTTGGCTTCAATCACTATTAAAAAGGAGAAGAAGAAAAAAGGAAAATTCATTCACATTTGGTTATTTGGGCAAAGTGGAAACAACTCTACATGTAGCTTTCTGCCGTGCAGTCATAAGACAGTCTGTATGCTCTCATTGTACAGATACTATTCAACATGTTGACATTCTTGTGAAAAAAGTTTGACTGTTTATCAATTTAACTAAAGATAAAAGTGTAATAATAATGATAAAAACATAATATGTGAGTTTATAGAACATACAATGTAATACATGTAAGTACAGAGTTATACAAAAAAAAAATTGATTTACAATTTTTAATGTGGATTATACTAATGCTGATATTCACAAGTAAATACATACATACTGTATGCCACAGTATTAATAACCTTATTATCATGATAAAGTGTGGAGTAATTTCACATTAATGCTACCTATTCCTTTGTTGCAATCCAATTAATTTTGCTTCCCATCACCATTCGACTAATATTTCAAGATATACATGTATTCAAAACATTCAACTGGCACATCTACAGTATGAACCTTAGAACTTTTTTTAGAATTTATGGTGCACCATACGGTAATCACCTACGATGTAATGATCCATTTTCGTAATGTGCAATCAATCATGCAATTAAAAGTCTATAAAATAGTGTTTACACAATGTCACATATTTTTTTCTATTCAAAGACTGAACAATGGAAAAGGGAAGAATGTATATCAATCATTGCGTAAACTCCCACAGACCTTAGATGGAAAACCACAAGAAATATCTTTTTTGTTTTGTCTTTTGAAACCAATTTGACCGTGGTTAGCAACCATCCCTAATGACTATTTGTTCCTGGATTCCACTCAAATATCAATATACCAGGCCGTTTGTTATTGTGCCAACAGCACGTTACCATAGTAACAGTATACAAATAAAAGGAGCCGAAACACTCATCCCATAGGGTGAGAATGCAGTGACATCCAGGCACTGAGATAATATTGCACAAGGGATTATGAATTTGGAAAGCATATCATCATTTCCCAGGACTGCATAATGTGGTGGAAACACATTAGATTATAGTATACCTAAATTTGATTTTGACTTTCGGTCATGGGATTTCATGCAAGGGGGAGGGGGGAAGGAGGGGGGAAGGGGGGGGGGGGGTAAGTACAGAAACATATAGTATACATGTACTGTACATTATGTATGTCACTGAGTATCTGTGATCCACAATCCATTCTCGTCTAGGATTTAATGTAGACTCATTCCATAAATATACAAGATGTGTAAACATGCAGGCCTAAGGCCTCTGTGTTGTACAGTGTATACATGTATGTGCTTCAAGAAAATTATACTTCCTAAACTACAGTACATATGGGATGAGAAACATGTACATGTACACTGTAAAGCATCCTGAAATACCAATAAACTCAGTTCACAAAAATACAGGATGTACGGATGTACATGTATAGTTTAATACTTCACTCTAAAATAAAGACAATCAGTCTGAAACCAATCTACAGTTCTAACTGAAGCTACGGAAGCTATGAGACATGCATAATGTTTTATTCAATTGAATACGAAACTACATTTGCATGTACACTCCATCAGCAAACACTCATAAATGATCAATACTATAAAACAAACATGGACAATGAATTATGATTATAAATGGGTATTAATTTCATGGATGGCTGGATTGTGAATCGATGGGCATTAGTATAAGAGAGTACTTGGAAATAATAAATTCAATGATTGATCTCCTAGTCAAGAGATATTGATTACAGACAACCAATCATCATTGGAAAAAAATTCTGCATGTTCGTATGTCAATGAGCAGCTCACCTTTTAATGTCATTTTGACATTATCTTCTGATCTAGTATGCTATGCATTAGGTATGTATGAACATAAAGAGCACAAATAACGGTCTATTTTTGTTGCGCAAATTGTGCAGTTCTCAAATAATAATGAATTCTATATTTAAATTTAAATTGGCAACACAAACTGGAATCCATTATCCCTATTTTCATTTACATGTAAATATTTTGTACATGTACATGTACATGTACAGTGTACCTGTTGACATTTTTTATTCCATTTAATAAATTTTAATTCCAATCGGTTGATTTAAAATTTTGATTTGTCTCAAAGATAGTAAAAGTGAAATAGAAGAATAACTGTAGCCAATCAAAGAAGGCAAAGCTGATTCAGACTTTCAAAAAATTAAAAATACAACTTTCTTTTCTACCCAGATAAAAATGAGGAGGGTGAGAGTGGAAAACCAAATACTTACATGTATATTTTCCTTCATCATCCTCTCTCTCATCCTCATAGCTGGAGATGTCTGAAGATTGAATCGAATCCACGGTTGCCTTGGCGATGGCTGCAGCATAGACGGGTGGACAGTGGCTGCCAAACAAAATCAAAACATGCAACTGTTACCGTAGTTCAATATATTAAAAGATACATGAAGAATACACTTTACATACAAATAGCATGCATATTTCTCAATTAATGTTCCTCTTGACAAAAAAAGGAAGAAGAAGAAAGGTTGCCAGACGCTCGTTCAATACAAATCATAACTCTGGGATATGCATGACACCTAACAGATGAATTTTAATAGGGTTCTTTGAAGAAACAATATTTCATTATAATATATCAGAAATGGGTCTAATCAAGTTGACTTCAAATTAATTAAATTAGAGTCTACCTGCAATTCATACTCCTGACCACCAAATGTACAAGCCCATGAAGGGGGGGGGGGGGTATACTGTTTCTTCAGCATCACTGTTATAGAATTCAATTTAAATCAAATTCAAGTCAGTGACACCCAATGTACTGACCTTAATATTCATTATCAATAGTGATATGTCATTATCTAGATCTAGTGTGTGTTGCAATCGCTCAAAATGACCACTGTATATTCACCGAGCTCTTAATTTTGTTCAGAAATATACAGCAAATTTACAACACTTGCGTCATAAAAAAAAAGAAGACAAAAGACAAAAGACAAAAAAAGGCTGCTGCAGTTTACCACGTCATATCATGGACCTACCACGATCAGAATAGGGCTTTAATAGCCCAAGTTTCTATTCTTGGCTGGTGTGCAAATTACACAATTATACATACATTACAGTACCGTAGTCTACAGTATAGGCCTGCATTGGTACAACAATTGATATAGCATTACACATGCCAAAAAGGTTGGTGACAGTGCTTGGCTGCCTGAATGTACCACAGGAGGTAATAAATTAATAAAAACAATTTCTATTCATGGCACACAGTTCAATGAAGCCATTCTGAGGAAAGGCAGAACAATCAATACCATCAAAGGGTATCTCAATTTGTGTGCCCTTTGAGGCATATCAAACACACTGGGATCATAGCAAGCAAGCGTCATGGGTTTGATCTTTGACTCTGCCTAGCCTGTCTGTCGAAGGGCTGGATTGCAATCAAATATTATTAGGCTTGGTGAAATTACTGTACATTTTGACAATTTAATCATATGTTTATGAAGCTACAGTTGTAGATGTACAGTTACACACATGAATGCAATGTATCTGCCTACAATTTCATTTCAGAAACATGTACATCCGTACCGGGTAGGCCTATAATTTGAAGACATGTTTTTCTACATGTACATGTATACATTACACACTAAGGATAAAGACAAACAAATATAAATGTTTTATTTCTAGTTTTCTTGTATACAGGTCAACAAAGTGCATGTACAAACTATACTTTATTTACACAAGTTTGTACATGTGGATTAAAAAAATTATCATCATAATGCTACGTGTTCCTAGCTTGGATTGTATTTGTACATATTTGTCAATGAATACTGATGATGGCCTACTGTACATAAAGAAACCGAAAGGCAAACCCTGGATTCCCTGGTACAGTGTAAATCAAACAGACCTGGAATAATGTTTTTGCCAACAACATGTACAGTATATGGCACAACCTTCCTAGTTTACACGTCGTTGTCATGGAGACCAATAAACATATCCATAGTAACCATGGTAAACAAGTAGTAATGAGCCAGGGTTTCATTCACAGGACTCACACAATAAGTCCATGCACTTGACACAATTCCATCACACACGGCTGGAAGATTAACAGTACGGTGATAAAGTACAGTCAACATTCTAACATTCAGAATCTGCTTGTATGATTCATACTAGAAGAATCCTGCACTGAATTGAAATTGTAGAATGAAACTTGTCAAGATTAAACCATATCTATAGTACCTGTAGGGGATGGATATTCTGTGCAATTATACATTTTTGTTAACAAGTTAAAGGGAACAATCATGCCTAAATAACTTGTACATATATATTGTTACAGGTAGAAGACCAAAGACAAAACGTAGATTCCCCCCTCCCCCCCCCAAAAAAAAAAAAAAAATCCCACAACAACAACAACAAAAAAAGCACCACATGTAAAGTAATTTATTAAACACTTTAAAAGTGGAATCGCCTTTGTATATGACTATGGTAGTTTGTTTCATAAATAAGGAGTGCTTGAAACTTCAATCAATCATACATACAGTATACTGTATACAAAACATGAAGTACATGTACACCCTGTATACATGTATTTGAATACTAGAATAATCTTTTCTTTACATGCAAAGCCACAAACCACAAAATGCCGCTCCATTGTAAGGGCCGTGTTGCATACTGTAAACGCTGTTATTTTCGTGTGATGAATTTTTTCGTGCTGAGCGACCCCAAAACATATTTATGCTGGTTCTTAAATTTGCGTTACATGCAATTTAGCCCATTCAAAACATGCATAAAAAGAAGTCATGCTTATTTTTTTGCGAGTTGTAAAATTCGCGCTTGCCGATCTTAGCTCAAAAATTTACTGTACCCAAATATTTTTACTTTTACAGTAGTACAGCATCTTGGTTGTAGACTTTGCTACAGCATGTTCCGGTACATGTATTCCCCTACATCATGTACAGTACCTGTAGACCTACACAAATGTGTGAGACTTCAGGACGTGATGTCTCAAAGAAATAGAGAACCCAATAAGAACACTTGATTGTCTTCCCCACTCAACCCAGACAATACACTGTCAATTGTCAGTCTACCAGGGCCCTGCGTATGCCCCCTAGGTATTGCATAATGACTGAAGCCATTTTTTTGTTTGTTTTGTTTTGTAGGATGTTTGCCACAATGCTTGTTACCATATATACAACAAACAGTCTTTCAGGAATGAATGATCAGGTGTACAAGTGATTAGCAAAATGTTACCTGTAAAAAGGTGTGACCTACATGTACATGTACATGATGTACAGTACTACAGTATATACCTGTATAATCCACCTTCTCCTCCTCCTTCTTCAGTTCTTTTTCTTCTTCTTCTACTTCTTCAACATCTTCATTTTTGTTATTAACTTTGTAATCTCCAATGTTAATTGTTTGTATTATCATTATCATCATCATTATTATATAATCATTATTAATATTATTATCATAATTATTATTATTATTATTATTCACTATCATAATCATATTCATTATCGTCAGCAGCACTACATACATGTATGTACCATCATATTTTTAAAATAGTAGTATTACTAATCAATTATTATCATTATTATTATTATTATTATCATAATCATCATCACCATCATACATGCTTGTAGGCCTTCATCGTTGCTGTATTACCTGTGATGATACAAACATCACATCAGAACTGTGCCATACTACCACCAGTCAGACTGAAGCCTGTATTTCTGCATTTAATCCTTCTAGCAAATATTTGAAAAGGTGATTTCCATATAACAGCTAGCCAACACTTCATCAGCATACAATTTGCCAGGTAATAGTTTTGGACATGAAGATTGTACTCAGAAAACTTGGTACATTTTTGGTGGTCTTATGAATAGATACATCTTATGATCTATACATCTGATGACTTTGGAATGATGTTTCTGTAACAAACTCAGAGACATTTTATATACATCCATGGAGATCAAGTGCTCTACAAACCCAACATATCATCATGGAATACAAGTATTGTAACCCATATGAAACTTGGAGAAAAAAAGCGCCAAGTCCCTTGAGGCCGGGTTCCAGGACTCGCTCCGGCTCTAGATTTTTAAGAGTAAGCAGATCTCAGGTGTAATCTGAGCCATAGTTTGAAGCATTACAAAAATATATCTGACAATATTAAATTTATAACTTTGGTTTGAGAATGAATCTTCATGTAAACCTGTTACTACAGTAAACCTGTCACTTTCAAATTGAAACATGTTTCTGCTTACACTTAATATAATATACATTTACCATGTACGTTAAAAAAGCCCCTCATGGACCACCCTGGCCACATACATGTACAGTTGAATACATTCAGTAAACTTACATGTACATACTACATTGGTCATCTGGTGAAAGTAGGTGAAAGTGCAAAGGTCTATGTTTTAAGACTAGGGAACACCCTTTGAAGAAAAAAAAGGATGCTCAACAACCAAAGTAAGTACTATGGATCACTTGGCATCTTGAATAGTCTATAGGACCTCAGACAATGCCAGGTAAATCGCAACCTGGTACACTTACAGGGGGATCAGGAACAAGGATAATCATGGTCTGTTGTAGTATTAGGCTATGGATCAATATAGGCCATGCTGTGAAGGTGACAGGAATGGAAATAATCTGCAGGATTATAAACCAGAAAGGTCTGAAAGACTTCTTGGTTTGCAGTATGTGTCATAATGTGTGTAAGCATAGGCTTTGTTGTATTGTCTTGGGTGTCAAGGTTGAGGGGTCTTATTAAGATTAAGGCAATTGTGAGCTTGTCATTGTGTCTAATTTTAAAACATACAGTATAGGCTACAATACATGCAGGGAGGTTTTTTAATACAGGTACTGTAGGCCTACATGGCTAATACATGTACATCATTTACAAGAAAATGCAGGTCATTACAATGAACTCATTTTTCCCTTGAATTTCTTCCAAAAGCCTAAGCAAACACATCATACATTCACTTGGTGAGGTGTAAATAAACAAGCACCCACTCCATTTGACTCTCTTATTGATACACAATATTGGGCATTCAGTGTTCCCCCCACACACACACAGTACGGCTTGAGCACCCATTATTATTACTGATAGATCATACGCTACATTCATTCCCAGGCCAAGCATCTGGTATTATTGTTGCAATGTTTTGAATGGTCACCATGACGACTGGTATGCCTGATGATGAGATGAAAGCCTGAAGGAGAATTCTGTGCCAAATGTCATGGTGATGATTCAGGCAGAGTTTTCCTCTCTGTATTTTTAACTAACATGTGCATATATGATCCATTGTTGTGTTCTTCTGTCAGTTAACAATGTTCAGGGATTTCCAGGCATCAAGCCACTACAATAGTATGATTGGGGGGGGGGGGGGGGTGTCCAGACGCTTCATAAAAATAAAGCGGATGCTTAATATTGCCTTTGGATTTATCAAAAACTATGCATCAAATAGCAATAACCATTGTCCTTTATTATACTGCCTACAATTTGTATAAGTCTTACAATATTTATGAAATATAGCACGTAACTTCTTTAAATTGCTGTTTTAAATCAAGTGTCCAGATACACAACTTGTCTGAACACAGTATCTAAGCCAATATTTTGGCATACAGACATTTTTGCAAGTGAACGGTTAGTGATAATGAACAGTAAATACAGGCAAAAAATACTTTACAATACATACAGTACATGTACATGTTCATTTCCATGAATTAAATGCTTATTGCTGCTAATTCATGATCATACAACAATTCATGCACAGTGAAAGTGAATATATAAAACACTCATGTTTCAGTACCGGTATCCACATTGAGTGAACATTTTAAAAACGTTCAGCTTGATGGAGGCAGATGAAAAAATTCCACCATAATGGCCAGTGAAGTTCAAATTTGGCCTAGACTGTAGAAGCCTCTGAAAAGGGCAAGGGGGAAAAATGCTCTCATTCTCTCGAATTTTGTTTTTTGGAAAAGTACTGTATATCAGGCATTATCGGCTCAAATTACACAAAGTCATATGCTAAATATTGTTTCCCACATCACTATGGAGTTTGGAGTCTTTGGACTCCCATTAATTTTTTAAAACCCTTTTTATTGTATGATTCTTTTGAAGAAATACACCCTGTATGTGAATTTAATCAATATTTAGTTCCTACTAAATAGTGAATAATACAAGTGATATTACAGTGTTTGGGTCATATTACGACTTCATACTGTAAGTTAATATAAACTTTCTTATCCTTTTATCAGTTTTTCTTCAAACTTTCAGTGACCTGCTTCTCAAATATCTCTCAGCTTTTTCTAAAATAAAATAAAAAATACAATATACCGGTAGCAGAGGCAATCCTTGCTGTACAATTATGAAAGAGTATGCCATCTCTGAGAAATGATGAATCTGACAAGAGTTTCCATTTGTCTTCCACTGACTCTCAGCAGCGTACATTCATCAAATGGCTGCTGTAGGATGACTAACTGAGCCTCCTGACTCATCACATGGGATTCATTTTAATTAGAGGTTGGATTTAGACTAAGTAAAGAGTGCAATTACATATACGTTGTAGATGGATGTGAGGTACTGTACAGGTACACATGTAGACACTCTCTATTTTTTTACTGACCCAGGTTCATCAACCTTATGTACTGTACATACAGTACTTGCACATATTTGTAAATGTACATGTCATGTGTACAGTTACATTTTGTATGTGGGCAGGTCTAGGTATTTGATCATTATTTTTATGTCACATGTCACCCGGTATTGTGGAGTTTGGAACATACTGTACATGTACATGTACATGTATGTAGACATCAAAAGAGTCACTGTACAGATTGTAGTCTCATGTATTTGGTTTAATAATTTGGTTTGATCGTAGCTGTAGCTGTAGTGTAGTTGGGCAGGGAAAAAATTATTAAATTTTTTTTTCAACCTTGCCTGCATGAAAATAACACTCTTTAATTTATTTTGCACTATTTTTTTTTTTGGGGGGGGCTCTTTTATGACTTTCTGGGGCTCTTTTTGGCATTTCAGGGGCTACTTTGCCCGAGCCCTCCCGTGTATTTTTTTCACTGTAGTTGGGCTACTGACTTTCAAATCCAACCCTTGTGATAAGTTAATTTGTATGAAAGCAGAAAAACGGTGACAGTTTGAAATAAATTGGACCAATAATAGGAAAGTTATGAATGTCTGAAATATAAGATCACTATTAAAGTCTACGCAAATCTCAAACTGGCAGTTTGGTCAGGATTATTGTAATGTTCATCGTGGATACGTAACTGATTTACCTCTCCATTTTTCATGTACAAAAATATCTCCATTTCTGTTTTTCTCCTATTAAAGTGCCTTCTCCCTTGGGTCACGACTCAAAATGTGTCATGGCCATGAGTAGCATATCATTATAGAGTTGATTTCTAAAAGAAAGACAAGTCAAACATTTTTGAAAGATTGAAATTTTAGTAATTTTATGTGTTAATTGGTGAAGATGAAGGTTGATAGACTTTGACAGTGAAATTTGGTCATTACCTGTAATGTACAATGCGTATTGTTTGTCATTTAGTTCGTGAGTTAGTGATCTTAAACACATCGAAACGCGTCATATGACGTACATGTACATGAATATAAACATAGACCTACATGTAGGTTTGTTGACGAACCTCCTTTGGCTTTGTGAATTCGAGCCGGTAGGTCTATAAATACCGGTATGTGAAAAATTTGGTCTGCATCGCAAGTATCACCATGGTCTCACCCCCATTTCTAAAATTTAACAGACCCTTTCAACGTTTACAATCATGGCAAAATTTGCACTATAGTTTCACATGATTTAGACAACAACTAAATTACTCATGAGATATTATATTCATCATTATCTAGTTACTGATCGAGTTAATTTAACACTAAACAGTCCTCAAAATAAAAGACTCCGGACTACTACTGAGAGTGAGACTAGACCAGAGGTCCAGAGCTAACTTACAGTTACAGTTACATTTTTACAATATTCAATTAACATAGTCTACACTGTATCATCATGCAATCATTCACATTCACTGTTACACGCAGTATTTTTAATTTAATTAGACCTAGGCCTAGACGGCCGACGGTCTATATCATACTTGTCATTCTCAATCTAGAGGGTCTACATCATCATTTAATATTCCCAGGCATTTTTGCATTGGTCAGTCATATCTTGTGTATACAGAGTCAAGACTACACTAGGCCTACAGAGTTTTTTGTCTAGCTAAAAAAAAATTGAATTGAAAACTCACTTGTGGCCAAACAGATATTCCATGACCCATTCTATGCATTCTCCTTCCACTTCGTCTGGGGTGAGACGATATGTCACCAGTCGGAATGGCAGAGGATCATCAGAAGTTAAAGGTCCATTGTGTTTTGCTGTAAATTCCTCAAGAAAAAGCTTGAATTTGATTGAATCATCCGTCCCCCGATCCATCTTGCTTCTAACAGTAACAGGCCAGGCCAGGCACAACAAGGACAAAATAGGTGGTTGAATATTAGTAGAGCAATGCCAATGCTTCGGCGCGGCAGCTACCTTCACACAATGCAAATGGTATAATTCGCGCACAGTATGTATGAAGTGTGTACAAACTAGGCAGAATAGTCTACAAATACAGACCGAATGGCGGCTGTATGTTTTTTGAGCAACAAGACTATTAAATGTGTAATTCGGCGGTGGGCGTAGTGTCTTAAAAAGTGGGAGGAGGGGGGGGGGGGGGGGGCATCAACTTAAAAAAGGTATTTCTGGAAATAAAGGGCCACCTGCATGGGCCGACCTGATTTTTATTTAAACATTTATTTTGTATTTTGTTTTTATTTTTGTAACGACAGAATGTTCTATCTTATCAGCCACTGGCGAACTGATGGGGGGGGGGGGGGGGGGGGGGGGGAATTGATCCCCCTAATAAAATTCAAACGTGGTTTATTTCTAAATCGATAACTGTGATTTATAAATGTTGCTGAAATGACAAGCTTTTCCTGGGTTTTTGCCCATTACTGTCTAAAAAAATCGAGTGATCACGGACGAGGCTCCTCTGGAGAGTGAAAATGTAGTGAAAATAGAGTGAACATTCACTCTTTTCTTCTTAGAGAACACTCTAAAATCAATCGATTTTCACTCCTAAACAAGTGATCACGAACGTCACTCCCAAGAAAGTGAAAATAGAGTGAAAATTCAATCTTTTTTTAAAGAGAGTATGCCAGAGGTGGCACTCCCGGTTTGGAGGGGGGGGGGGGGGGGGCACTGTGCTACCCACCTTTTTCAGGTACCCACAAAAAAAGCCTCTTTTAACAATAGGACAAGTGCTCCTTTTCTTTTCTTATTTCAATTGGATTGTCATAAATTTTCACTGACCTAGCTATAGCTGTTCCTCTCATTTTTCCTTGTCTTCCTAAAACCAACGTAACATATCAGGATGGACATCTGTCTCTTGCAATTGCCTTGAATGTCAAAACTCTAGATTTGAAACATTTATGATATTTAAAAAAGGGTGCTTCAAGTTTATTAAAGGTGAAAAGGGGCAGGTATCAGAAGGGAAAATGGCACTCGGAAAGAAAAAGATGAACCTATCACTTGTCAAAAGTTGTAAGGTCAGTTATCATAAGTACTTAAGTAGAAAGGGCAAGTACTAATTAAAGGCGAAAAAGGGTCAGTTATATGCTAGGAGCGGACTTTAAAGGACACTTTATTGAAAAGGGGTACTTTTCACACAATGAATAGGGGCATTTATCAGAAGTGAAAAGATGCACTTATCCGAAGGAGAGATTTAAGGGCAGTCACGAAGAAAGAAAAGGCACTCACTGAAGGATAAACAAAAAGGCACTTATTAGAAGGAAAAGCCGGGCCAATAGCCTGTTTAAACGAAATTGTATTAATTAAGTTGAAGATGATCTGTGGGCAGTTATTAACTGTAAAAAAGGGTGCTTCAAGTTTATCATAGGTTGAAAGGGGCAAGTAACAGAAGGTAATATGGCACTCAGAATGAAAACATAATGGTATGTATTATAATAGGCCTACACCATTTTGTACTTTTACACGAAATTTTCTCTGGGCGCCGGTGGGGAACCATGCAATACCAAAATATACCATTTTTTTGCTTCGGCATATTTGAGGGACCCCCCCCCCCTTCTCCCCTCATCATGAATCCTGGTATATAGTAGGCCTATTTTGCCTAGCTGATGTTCCATGTTATATGTTATCCATCAAATTTTCTTCATTTTTGAAAGAGGTTTTTTTTTTTTTTTAAATAGAAAGAAAAAGTAAAAAAAAGTAAGACAATATCAATTCGGCCTCGACGTTTAATCGAATATGCAATTAGATTACCGGTATAGATGGGTAATAAGCACTATAGGTGTGTCAGTGGAGGGACAAAGAGGACCGTGGGGAGACTGGAGAAAGAAAGGGGGGAGGGATAAGAGAGAGAGAAAGGGAGAGAGAGAGTGTGAGAGGGGAGAGAGAGAGAGAGAGAGAAGGGGGGGGGGGAGAGAGAGGCTGATTTAGGGCAGAGCCATGGGCCTCATTTTGAAACACAAGTTGTTACTGTTGATACCCCCTCCCCCCCCCCCCCCCCCCCCCCCACCCAACCCACCTATATTATAAAGATTGCAAGAATATTGTGTCCCCTCTATTACTAACTATATACTCCCCATTCCATTAAAAGACAACGCCCTCTTCAGGTTGACACTGGTTAGAGATTTGCTGCAGACGACGTCTAATGTTATGTTATCAACAGAAACATCATCAATCATGTCCTTTTCCACACCTTCTGTCCGTTTTATCAATCTTCCTACGGTTACACTTCCAAATGGAATACTGCGGTTCATCAGTGTCACAGAAAATCAGCACACAGTTGTGACAGATGGGGTAAATAATGTTCATATGAAACTCGCTTTCATTCATCAGAGCCACTCAACTCTTTACTTCGGTCCCATGTATTAAATTTTGAGTCTGTTTTTGTCAGTTAACAATATTTAATGGTGATTAATTAATTCTGTGAATTCCTCAAATTAAAGATTGTAACTTTTTTTCCCTTTTTTCTTTCCTCTCAAAATGATGTGGATAAATGTGTGTAACTAATTAAGTCTAGAGACTCTAGGCAGCTAATTAGTAAGAGTCGGACTAAGTCTAAGATTACAAGGGAAATGTGAATGATGTTTTATTAGTAGACTAGACTATCTTCTAGCATTAGCGTGGACTCTCTATGCTTTGCTGGAGTGTCTTCTAGAGTTTATAATTAAATTATCAATACTTACCGGTACGTCAAAATCTAGACCAAGATTTAGTAATACTAATACTTCCATGCATTATTATCTTGGAAAAATTATCAAAGGGTTTATCTCTGGTCAAGAGGTTTACAATGATTTTGATTAATATTTGAATTGACTCTCGACCTTCATACTCGGACAGGGACTTCGGGCCACAAGGCGTTGCGTAGCTACCTTATTTACTTTCAATATCTCTTGCACATTTCCTCCTCCTCCTCTGCACAGGATATGTTGATGGGTACTCCCCTTTTCCTTGCCACTGACATACTGACTGGGACATCAGTGACAGCCGACAACCAGCCTAGAATACATGCAAGATATGGCAAACAGGGACTGGCTACCAAGCTTACTATTCCTTCAGGTGTGTACATCTTAAGGGAGTATTTCTTCTAGTTAATCTATAACAACATATACATGCATGTAACTTAATTGTAGAAGTTTGCCTCGTCTTTATTATTATTATTTTTTTTTTACAAAGGACCACATCTGGACAATGAATTCATTTTCACCTCTTTGTGTAAATAGCTAGCTTGGGTAGGCATGCACCAAGTGTTGGGCTAGATGTTTGTTAAAGAAATTTGAACTTTGGAATTCAGTTAATAGTGGAAATCGACAGTGGATCTATTTGTCCCCAGAATATGTTTATATACAATCGATTATTTCCTGTGATTTCTACTTCCACCATGCACAGGTATTAAAATCAATGGCTTACATGGCACCAGTCGAGGGTTATGGTTTTACAGCATAGTAGGAGCTCTCAAGGTGACGTTCGAGTTCCATTCACCGGACCAGCAAGTGGCTCTGATGGATGCCTTACAGGTATTCCAAAAAAATTACTTTCCATTTTCTTTATCAGGAGGCAACTTTGAAGAGCTTGTTCTATTTACTGGTTTCATTTATGAAATGTATACTTAATTGCCATGCAGTAAAGTTTTGTAACTGTTGAACATGTTGGTAATAAATAGATACGTGTATATTAAAGACAATGCATCATTTCATTTTCATGTGAGAGCACTGTTGTGTAGTCTATTCATTTGACTTTGAAGTGAGAGGTTTCTTTCCAAATGAAACAAAAGTATGAGGCTTTGTTGATGCCTACTATTTAATGGCAAATCCAACCAGCATAGAATAAAAGGAAAGTGAAATTTCTCAGTTCAGGGGGAAAAGAAAATAGTTTACATTTGCTTTATACATTCTAAATGTGCCCTCTTTGTTTTCTTTTTCTTGTCTGTCTACAGGATGTCTGGAGAACGAAATACAAAGATCCACCACTTCCATCAAGTATAGTAGTTCAGCATGTTGAAGAAAACAGAGGCAAGAACAGAGATAGAGATGTTGATGGTGAAACATCTCTAGAAGCTAGGTCCTGTTTGCCCATTGACCATGAGACAAGAAATGAGGGCCACGTGGATGCAACAGGAATTTCAGATGAAAAGAATATAGAATCCGGGAAACCGATTAAACGACATTACACAATTTCAATCAGCAACACAGTCTCGAAAAGAAAGAGAACGTTGGACGAGTTTGTGAATGAACCTGTTCTCAAAATTGATCGAAGTACGTCAACGGATGATCAAGTCGTGCAAGGAGATGGTGTTATTGACTTGGAAGTTCACCATGTTGAGGAAGTGTTAACAGAGAGGGAGCCTCCACCGTCATCTCCAGACCAGGCTAAATGCTGGTGTGGTGCTGTACAGAGGAGGTTACAGGAGCTGGCGGAGCGGTACGGTGATGAAATTCTCTCGGAAGAACTGACGTGCTCCATGGAACACGTTGTCGAGATGTTACACGTCATGACCAGAGGTGAGATCGATACCTGTCTGCAGCTTCTGAACAGCCTTTCCGATGCTGTCTGTGAAAACACGAGGAGGGATGGTGAGGAAGCCCTACGTCAATCATCGGACAGGGTCAGCGAGGTTTTAGCAGAGTGGCTGGGGTCAAAGTTCAATCGCGAGATCTCCCAAATCAGTGAAAGGGTCGTGGAATTCAAACAGAGGAACATCGATCAGATCAACAACCTGCCACAGGCAAAGAATCTGGTAAACACTCTGTTCCCTAAAACAATGGTAGACTTCATCATGACATGGTTAGGAACAAGAACTGAGCAAAGAATGGCCTCCAGCGATTTAGGAGTTACTTTAGCGAGTGATCTTGATCATGTAGACGAAAGTCAAAGAACGGGTCATGATGATCATGTTGGGAATAGACTGACATTTGGGGAAAAGCGAACAGAAGAAGGCAATTCTCGTTACCCATTGGCTCAGTTTATCCTTGAACTAGCTAACCAAACACTCATCTCAGGCATGGCTCATGTTATATACCCAAGGCTGATCCAAAATACAAACGTCTGAATAGGTGCAATTGATCAAGATGATAGTAGTAGAGATAGTAATAGTACTGATTATGACCATCCTTTAGGGGCCATGAATATGAAACAAATATACCGTAATTAACGGTCACTATAAACCGCCCTCCTGTATTAACCGCATCTATCAGAAAGATTACTTTCAAACCAAGATGACAGACAAATTTGAGTGTTGTTCTAGTTTCTGATTACTGAGCTGGGAGACATTTTTTTTTGTGTGTGTGTATCGTGTATGAGACCCACCCCCAACTTTGAATTTTTGTTGGCGGCAAAAAAGTGCGGTTAATACGTTAATTACGGTAAACCAATTTATGTTAACCTTTGCATCAATTCATACTTGAGCTAGCTAACCAAATGCTTTTCTCTGGCATGGTTTATTTATTATCCCAAGGGTCATACAAACATCCGAGTCATGAGTCGTATTGAGGTGTGCTCGTCAGTGATTTTTGAGATTTGTGCTTTATGTAGTTGACGAAGAATATGTGTATAGTTTCTTCAATATTCTCGGCAATAAAGGAAAGCAAACTCTTGAAATATTTAGAGTAACAGTATGATGATTTATGTCTCAATTGAGAAAGACCTATGTTCACGTTGCAAATGTGTAAACTATATAGTATTAATGACTGCTTTGAGAGAAATAGTTGTTTTATTACGCTCAAGGGAAGGTTAGAATTGTGCTATTCCCCGAGGCTTGCCGAGGGGAATAGCCCAATTGTAACCTTCCCGAGAGCGTATGAAAACAACCATTTCTCGAATATTAAAGCAGTCATTAATACTTTTATATGCCGAAAAAAAATAAGACTAAAAAATGAAAAATTAAAAATATTTATCATTTTGTCGAAGACGGGATTCGAACCCTTGCGTACAACAAGAGGTGTACCGAAAACCAACGCTTAGACCACTCGGCTATGGCCCGCCGTTAACATGCTTGGCAGTTTTCTCCAATATATACATTAAAATGGATTGAAACCGGCTTCGCGTGTGATGAATGCTTCGCAAAAGCTCCATATACGGACTCTTCTTTTACTTTTGCAATGCATATTGGCACGAACTTAGATCAAGATCTATCGGCAGATGTTGTTTTTTTGTTTTTGGAAGTTTATTTTCGTCTTCATGTCAACAATGCAAGATAAAATTGTCGGTAAGATCGATCAAGATTCAATTGTATTGAAATTACCGACCAATCCTTCGCACACATACGGCATCCTCCATCGCTCAAACCATTTTTTAACATGTAAACCTATGGGGTAACCATGGAGGCTGACCAACTGTTTTTAATAACCATGGTTATTAAAAATATTGAAATGTTTTATGCATGGTTACCGAGAATTTTACAGGAACAGTTGAAGTTTATGAATGCAATTCGACCAATCAGATGGCTGGATTTCTTAAGTGAGGTATATAATGTGTAATAATAACCTCAAATGGAATTTAATGTGTGACAACAGTGGATATGTTTTTTATTTTTTTATTTTTTTTATTTTAAAGAAATGTATATGTACAGGGGTGGCCCTCTCCCCCCCCCCAAAAAAAAAAAGACGGACTAACATACTTCCAATAATGATTAGACCCAACTTTATTGAAAGTGCGCTAGTACAGGTTTTTTTTTTTCTGGGCTACCTTGTATGCCTAGGAAGAAAGATAGAGGGGATAAGGAAACGTGAAGGTTGGGAGAAGAGGGAATTTTTTTAAAGAGAGGGCGAGTTGGGTCAGTAACAAGAATTAAAGGGATATAAGAAAGGTGCGAGAGTTGGAGAGAGAGAGAGAATATGGAAATAGTTTGAGGATTGAGGGAGAAAATAAGAAAGGTAAATACTGAGAATGAGGATGTATTTTTAAAAATGGGATGATTTACAACACTAAGATAGAGAAAAGAGAGGTTAGAAAGACAGAACAGAAAGGTTGGAAGAGGTAAATACGAGGTGGAGGGGGGGGGGGGGGGCTTCCAGTAATAGGGGTTGGAGAAAGAGAGGAGATCAAAAAAAGAAAAGAGGGAAATATGATAACAGGTGAGAGAAATAGAGGGAGATTTCATATACCGGTAATAGTAATACACATGGAGAAAGGGATGGAGAGAAAGAGAAAAAGGGAGAGCTTAAAGAAAGATATCAGAGAAGAGGTAAAATAGAAAATAAAACAGAAGGACAGAGAGACAGCGATTTGTAGAAAGAGATAAGAAAAATAGAGAGAGGGAAAAAGAAGATGTGAAAATATGTTTTATAGAGTCAGAGAGAGGAAAGAGGATGGTAAAATCTACATCTGAAATAAAGAGGTCAGATAAAGCGAGGGATCAAAATGAACAAATTTGTAGCCAGGTGAGAGAAATGGAAACAGAGAGAGAGTGAGAGAGAAAAAAGATGTTGCTGGTATTTTTGTTTAGTTATTAGTACCACAAATATATATTTTGTTTAAAATATGGGACCCTATTCTTCAGAAAGAGGAACTGTATATTCCAAACATGAGAACATCATATCATTATTGTGATCCTCCTCCTCCCTCTTCCTCCTCCTCTTCATCTCTATTCGACAAAGACAATATTATACGACTTACATTTTAAAGATACAGCAAAACTAGCTTCAACTTTTTTTTCTCCTTTTTTATTAAAAAAAACAATGATATGTTGAATAATGTTGTTACATTTTGTGTAGCAAAGATCCATAAAGACACAAGACATGCAGAATGTGAAAAACATATTATGTTAAATGGAAGCTCTCTAGGAAGTTTTAACTTCTCAAAAATATGGCTTTAAAAGTATTGCTTTAACCTTTAATGCAAGTTTCAAGTTGACACCCAAATAACTTTACTCTGCTTTTTTACCTTCTTAACCTAACAAACTTGATAAGAAAATCATATACTGGTAGGCATTTCTTCAAATGCCATTGGAATTTCTGTTTTTCCTTGGATTCATCTTGAAAGACCTTTAAATGAATTATCCTATCTGGCAAGTTCTATTTTAGGATTTACAGCACTCGGACCATCTAAATATCATTTCCATAGACAAATTAAAAGGGAAAAACAATTAAAAGGCACCGTTATCATAAAGCACATTAGATTCTATTAAATAGAACTGTATCCACATCTTCAACTCTACATGGTATTCAACTATGCATCAGCATTATAAATTTTCTTGTGAGAAAACAATAGATCCTGTGACACCACAAAGACACTATCTGAAAGACCCAAATTGGCCTGATTTGACCCTTCTGCTCAAAGCGTTCGGACCTTACAGTTGACCATCACTCAACGGATGAATCATCAGTTACCACCATCACATATCATTATCCTTGATCATCAATGTAAGTTGGGTTATCAACATTCAAGATTTTCAGAGAGGCCTAACTTCATCTTGTTTCCAATATCTCCTTCGACACCTGATTTCCCTCCTTCAACTGAAAAACCTATCATTCATGTAAGCCGGGTCATCAGCATCCAAGAAATCATCCACATCTTCTTCCGCTATAGCATAGTCTCCATGGTAACCACCCCTTCGACGGTCGCTGGCCATCAGGTGCTCCTCCACGTCTACGAATTGAGCTAGCTCCGGGTTAGCATGGGCAAAGTGACCTGGTCCAGCAAGCCCTGACATGTCAGCAGGCTCAGGGTTCAAACCTCCATTGATGTCCTCCATACCCGCAACCCTAGGCACATCTTGACTAACCTCCACAAATGGTTCAGGGCCACTAACCACATGGCCACTACCCTGATGTCCGGCAGGTTCTGGGTCCAAGACCCCATCCCAAGGTTCATTTGATTCGGCTGGCACCTGAAGGTATTCTATCTGGATGTCGTTTCCCTGCCTGTTGAGAGGGAAGCTGAGATGCGCTGCTAAATTTAGTAGAGGGCGTTCATCATCCAGTGGATCAACGTTTACTTCAAAATCTTCCTCGTCTTCTTTATCACTTTCATCATTCGAATCTGCTGACCGATCATCTGTGGTATCAGATCAAATGAAACACAAAAACTTTGTCAAGATTTAGCTGATATATGAGGCAGCTCAATAGATACATATTTATATAACAATTACAGATTAAATTGTTAGTCAGCTTTGAAAATTAAGACTGAGTTCATAAACTACACATACATTTTAAACTGTTAATTGTGAAATACCTACAGGTGCATTTCTAACACATCCCCATTTGATGTTATGCAAAACAAGACGTTTCATGTGCACAAACCTGCCATATTTGCGATGATTTCATGCTACAACATAAATGTATCATGACTATTCCCACAAAAAGGGCCAATGTCTAAAAATCCCAAAAGGTTCTGGTTATGACAGTAGTTGAATATTCATAATTTTCAACATTATTGGGATCCATGATCAAACTTATTTGATATGTACTCAATACAAACAATTGTTGCGCTGCATTTCATTGTAAAATGGAAGAACATGAGTAATTCCATACTTTGGTTGATGAGGCTGGAATCAATTAAAAAAAAAAATTAATTCAGAAATTACACATGTTAAATGGGTTGAGTACCCAAATGTTAAGAGCTGTAGTCTTTGCATGATACAAGTGCGTAAAATAACAAACCAAAACGGACTACCAGCTGTTAAGATTGAGAGCTTTTGGCTTCATCATTAAAGATTCAGCCATGATTTGGATGAGATGATATACATACCATAAGGAAGAGATGGGTAGCACTGGCCAGGTGGGGCATTGAAGTTCTGTAGACATACCGTTACACTAGAATCAATGTCACCAAGCTCAGACAATGACGCTTCAGTTATTGCAGTCCCTGTGCGGAAACAAACCATGAATATTAAAGGGCTAGTCACTTATCATCAATATTGATAACTATGAACATGAATTCTAATATGATCTCAATCATGCTTTTGAAATTTCAGCACAGATTTTCTCAGATCCAATGTCTTTACTGCATAGAGCGATTTTATAGTTGTAGTTATTGTTATTGGTGATTTTTGTCTTTTTATCTCTACGGTACTTCGATGGATACAACGAATGATGGTTATGTAAAATAAACATAACTGGAACCTGTGATGCTAGAATAATAGATTAATGAAAATGTGGGAATAGTGGTCGCAAATAACCCCAGCGATCATATTGATGAAACTGAAAATATTTAATTACAAAGTTAATTACTGAAATTACTCATTGAATTGTGGTGTAAACAATCCTAAGTTAGAGCAATATGGGAATTTGTGTGTTCAGAATTATGAGCCTAAGGAATAATGGGCATGCCTTGCCAAATTGTATGATTTTATCGATCAAGAGGTACTGTAGGGAAGGCTAACGAGTTTTTAGTTTTTTGTCACAAAAAATAAAACATAATTTCATTGCAAAGACAAAAGATGAATTGATTGAGGAAACTCAGGGGTGATAGTGAGCCCTCATTCACAAATGATAGGGAAAAATAGGGAAAAATAAGGGAAAATAGGGGTAAAATCGAGAAGGAAAAAAAAGAAAAAATGGGGGGAAAAAAAAATTGGGGAAACTGATTTAAATCGGGTAATCATCAGGCCTGGAAACTGTAAAATTACCTCCATAATTGAGCATCAATGCTGTTCTGCCTTCTGTCATGGTTTCCCTGGCTTCAAGAAACACTTGAACAGAGTTGATGGTTAGAGCAGTGCACCCACACACATCAAGCTCATACAGTCTCAGGCAGTGAGCAGCAAGGTGACCGATACCTAGTAAATAAATCAAACAGAATAGTCTCTTAACCCATTGCCAACGGGAACCGGGTGGCTCCTGAATTGAGTCTACGGGAATGAGAGAATTTTTAGGAGTCAACAAGTTAACCTGATTTGGTCAGATCTATTCTTACTGTCATGAAATGAAACACCAGGGCCCGTTGCACAAAACTTACCATTGATGGGAACTAATTTGCCATCAATGGTAACTACCATGGAAACCTTAATTTTGATTGGCTGTTGAGCCTCGTTACCATGGTACCTACCATTGATGGTAACTTTGCCATCAATGGTAAGTTTTATGCAACGGGGCCCTGGGCTCTGTAACACAAATCTTAGCAATTGATCGTACGATTGATTTTTTTGGGTGCCATTTTAAAAGCGCACACATGCCAATCCAACCACACTACTGTCCGCACTCTACTGGGTACCCATTCAACACCTGGGTGGAGAGTGGCAAATGTAGATTAATGTCTTGCCAAAGAATATTAGTGCCCCTGGCGGGACTTGAACCATGAACCATGTAATTCACAGTCCAGGGACGTATCCACTAGACCCCAACATCTTTATTACATCTCTAGGTCATAGATTACCTTGATCAGTGATGTGCAGAGACCTAGCCACCAGCTTACGAAGTCTACCAGCTAGTGCGAGATGCTTTATCCCATCATCAGTCACCTGTAACGAAGAACGAAGATACAAGAAGAGTAAAATACTACTAATAAATCTAACCTTGTGAATATTCCTTGTCTTCTACACCATAAACATCTCCTCTCCCATAAATTCATGTGCAGTTATATGCAGCTCATATTATAATCATGTTATAATCATGAACTGATATAGTGGTTGGTTGTTTGGTTTTACCCGATGGCTAAGAAAGCATGTGTATGTTTGAACGTGGCCAACCAGTGCAGAAAAGGCAAAAGACAATGTAATCTGTTGAGAGCAAGTAAGGCATTATCTCTTTGTAAATGAATAGGAGTTAACACCTGGCTACCAACAGACAATTTGTCAAATACAATATTTATAAACACATCATTACATCACTTGGAATTTGCAACAACAATTTTTTGTTTTTTGTTTACATGATAGTCAGGGATGAGGGTTGGGGGGGGGGGGGGGGGGGGTTCATGTATAGTAGATACCCCACTACATATGGAGTGGGGTAACATCCAAGAGCGACCAATTTCTTCATTTTAGCTGACATCACTACTTCTAGGTTTCCAGTGGCAAATGTAGATAATGTCTTGCAAAAGGACTTGAATGCCATTTTGGAGTTTTGAACCTACGGGCTAAGTATCTCTAGTGGTTTTCCTAGAACGACCAACCTTTCCATGGTAGCTGATGTTGAGGACCTCAAAACAAGGACAGTACGCCAGGGCTTATCGTCCCATATCATTATTATCAAGTATTTCAAAGGTTTTTGAGAAATTGGTATATGATAGATTGATTTCTTTTTTGAATGAGCAAGATATTGCTTTTGCTTTTGTTAAACTTTGTGATAAAATAATTGAATCTCTAGCTAATAAGTAACATTCTATAGGTATTTTTAAGAATCTGAGTAAGGCCTTTGATACCATTGATCATATACAATCTTACTTCATAAATCAGAACACTATGGTATCAGAGGCCTTGCTCTATCCTGGTATGAGGACTATCTTGAATATAGCACACAGTATGTTAATTATCATTCTAACAGTTCCTCAAAATTGAACCTCACATGTGGAGTTCATCAAGGCTCCATCTTAGGCCCACTCTTATTTTTGATTTATGTAAATGATCTAATAAGATCAGTGGTTGTCCTAGAATGACCCACCTTTCCATGGTAGCTGATGTTGAGGACCTCAAGACAAGGAGAGTATGCCAGGGCTTGCATCCCTGCATCGGTGATGTTCTGGAGGGCACATCCACCGATCCTGAGCTCTCTCAGTCTCGTGCAATGATGTGCAACACCGGACAGGACTGCATCACTTAACCCTTGGTGGTAGGTGAGATGCAAGGTGTCCAATGTTGTCAGGTTGACTAGAGTCCTCAGACCAACGGAGGTCACTGTGAGAATGATTAATGTTATCAACTTAATATACTAGTACCTTAAGCAACACCTACAAAGGACCATTAAAAGGGATTAGGCTATAACATTTAAAGATTAAGACCAGTTATGGTCATGCGATCGCATTGTGAAATAAACGTTGTGGAATCAATCGGAAAAGGTTGATCATCAAGCATATAAGTATTGGTGTGTACTGCAAGGTTCTGGAATCATCAAAATCATAAGAAACTTGGCCCAGTCTTGGTAAAGTTACAAGCACTGTACACAGAAAGATGTATATGGGACTACGCACACATGCACGACAAGTGCGTAATATCTCTCACATCCCAATAGATAAACTAATTTATCAAATATATCAATTAGTAGGTGGTTTCTCAGCAAAATTTGTATGATCACGTATTAGTCAAAACATATTCTTTCACATGATTGGTAATAAAGAGCTTCCATTTCATTTTTTGAGAGGGGGGGGGGGGCGTTTCCAAAACTGGCCTTTACCTTTAAATATTGGAAATAAGATACAGAGTGAAGTGACATTGGAAAAAAAATAGTACTACAAATTAGAAAATTCTTGTAAATACTCTCTAAACAATTCTAGAAACTATGCTTTACAGGGTAGTCAAGCTGCCCCAAAAATGTGGTTTGATACAAAACTGTCTCAAGAGATCAGATTTCAATAGAAAAAAAATATAAAGCCTAATGAATTCTAAGATAGGAGAGAAACAAGGCTATTTTTCAATCACTGTAAACAACTGTTGAATATTCCATTTCATTCCTGACATGCTGATAACCTACCTTTGGAGTGAACACCACACATCTTCAAAACCTTGAGATAGTTACATCTCTAGAAAATAATTGGAATAAAGATAAAAATCATCAAAATCACATCATCAAAAATAATAAATAGGTACAATAGTACTCGATACATCCATTCATTTAAAACCCTATTGTATTCCACGTACTTCTATCAAGTTGCAGGTTCTTAGATGGATTATTAAACAACTAAGCAATTTGTGAGCCATTTCTTAAAAATATACCTTGCTTGAACATATACCTGAATCTGTTGAATTGCAAAAGAGCAATGCTTGTTGATACTCTCAGTGAAAACAGTACCAAATATTTTAAAAAATTAATAAATGTAGCTTTATCAAAAATTGCTTAAACAAACGTTAAAAGATGACAATGGGAAATAAAGGGGAAATTTAATATATCTCATATGATGTAACTAAAATTCTAGCATCACCTCTGTCATATTGTTGAAGGCTTTATCGGTGACAGTCATACATCCGCTCATATCAAGTTCTTCTAGACTCTCTCCACACTTGGTAGTCAGGCAATCCAATCCTTTATCATTGATACTACAGCAGCCATCTAGCAAAGCAATCTTGCAGTTCTTGTTCAGGATGTAGAAGCACTGCAAATATATTCAAACATTTCATATTTTGATACATGCAGGTCGTGTGTTGAGAAGGAAAGATAATGAACCTGTGATAAGAGTGTGAGATTTGGAGGGTGTTTCACAAAGATCCTAAGTTGAACTTATCTCTAAGTTGGACTTAACAATTATTGAAAGCAGTTAGCATCATTGAAAATATTTTGTAAAAGTAATTTCAAAAGGCATAAAATGGTGATTCAAATCATTCATATTTTCTATCATCAAGGAGATTTCATGTTCTTGATGTGGAATTTATGAAAAGTCTAAAATACTTCAATTTTTGCTTTTAGAAATATTTAATTTTAAGGCTACAAATGGCTGTCCATAATTTTTAAGTCCAAGTTAGAGTTAACTTCGACTTAAGATCTTTGTGAAACACCTCCCTGGAAGTGGAGGGCATAGGAGGGTCAGGAAGACTATAGATTTCATGGAACGTATGGTCAAGAAAGAAAGCAGTAAGGTTGGTCTAAATGAGGGGGATGCTCGGGACCAGAAGTGGAGGGAGGGAGTGTCATCAACATCGTGGCGCGAAAGTAAGTAACCTCTCGGAGGAGGCAAATCGCTGACTTGAATAATTTATGATGATGATAATGATTGGTTCGCAGGAAAAGATTTCAATAAACAAGATTTGCAGGACCCTATTATACCAGTTCAGAAAATGTGTAAGCAATCATGACTGCAAGTCACTTTGAAGGAAAGCAGAAAAATCAGCGAAACATATTAGTGAAAATTTGAAAACAATAAAACATTATAAATGTCTGAAGTTAGGATCACTAACTTTATGTAAATCTCAAATATGCTAATTTCTTTTTCAACTGTGGCATCATTAAGGACAACTCTTTTATTTGTTACACTTAACTTTTTCTTCATCATTTCAACATATTGAATAGCATCTTGATATCTAAAAACGTTCAACTGCTCTTATGGGGCAACTCACCTTTCCAATAATACGACGATTCTCTCTCAAATCAATATGACACAGGTTTTCACAGTTGTGAAACAACCACCAGACTCTACACAAAAAGTAAAACATAAATTAATTTAAAACAGCTAATAATTTTTTTTAAATACCGGTAGCCAATCTGAAATAACACTGCCCCTTGCCCTCAATGATAACCTAATATCTTTGATTTGATATGTTACTTGAATTGGATTAATTTAGCTACAAGAAGTTACATCAGTAATTTTAACTAAAAAAGTTCAATTCCCTGTTTCATTGGACTGGAAAAGGGTCTGAATACATCTATCACAGGGCATGGGTGTACCTTTATCATGGCTGGTTATATTTCTATTAATAACATTATACAAGTATTGAATGCTCCGGCATCGTTGGCAGGAAATTCTGAACATCTATCATAATTAATATGAATATTTTTACCCTTTTTCACCAAGCTCCTGGCAACCCTGCAAAATGATTTTCTGGGAAAGAAAAAAATAATTTGAAAAACAGTAATAACCTCACAAGATAAAATAAATCTACAAATAACTGCAAAAAAAGAACAGTAAGCATTTAACACTACCATGAAAAAACAACAACCCCAAATTCATATATTACTGGTACTAAAAAGAGATAATACCATTTCCATAGCACATCATGATATAAGATGGTCCAATAGTATACTCCAACCAGACTGGACATGTGAGTGTATTTCATGTTTGCGAGGGCATTTAAGTGAATATGCACTGCATGCAGGTTAAGTCACAATTGGAAAATGAAGAAGACTTGTTGAAGTCACTAAGAGCATCAGAACATGATTATTTGTTTTATAATATGGATCAACAATATGAATATTTTTAAAAAACCTGATCAAAACTACAAGAATGTGGGCTGCCATTTGCTTTGAATTACATCACAGTATAATAAAGCACGGCCTGACGGTGGCACATTTCTGTCCTTGCTATTTGAAACCATGTGCACTTTATCGCATCTTTAATTTTATGTGGTCCACATAAACCAATACAGGCATGTAAGCCATGCATTATCTCTTTTAGACATGGGGTATATTTTTTTGATGGGAACTTTTTGCATGGTAGGCATGGAAGAAAGGAATGGTGCACAGTCACGTGGTGCCATTTGACAAATTAGTTTTCCTACATGCTATAATACATAGGCAGGTGACTAGTCATCACAGTAACCCTGTAAGTTGGGGCTCTGATCGGATCGGAAGATTGGAGCGACACCCTCGCACCTTTGATCGGTATCGGATCGTAAGATCGACAAAAAAAAATCGGCTGATTTTTTTATTTTTTTATTAAATTTTTTTTTAATGACGAAAATTTTCAAGTTTTGGGCTATCAAATGCTCAAATTTTTTTATGGCTGGGATTATTTTGTCATTTGGAGTTGTTGTAGACCATGTTTGTTGATATATTGATGCCATAATGCATACCTACATTATAATCCAAGATGGCGGCCCGCATGTTTTGCCTCTGCTCTTAGACCAATATTATTAATTTCAAAGTCATGAAAAGGCACTAAATATCAACAAACATGGTCTACAACAACTCCACATGACAAAATAATCCTAGCTATTATTTTTTTTTAAAGCATTTGATAGCCAAAAACTTGAAAATTTTCGGCATTAAGAAAAAAAAAAAAAAAAAAAAATCTGCTGATTTTTTTCCGAACATTTTAATTGATCGGCGATCAGAAATTATTATCCGATCACCCCTGATCAGATAGGTATCGGCGTCCGATCCAATGATCGTTTACAGGGTTAGTACATCACAGTACCACTGGTTGAAGAATAAAAATGTAGAATAATGTTATGTTATGTAAAAAGACATTAGTGCCAATGTGCCATTTGATTCCACAAACCATGTGATTCAGTCCAGCGACCTATCCACTACGACCTGACACCTCTACTGTCTAGTTAAGAGAGATTTCATGGCATGCAGAAGTAAACAAAGTATCTTGGAGTGTGTGTATATACATACCTCAATCTTTCTGGAGCCATTGGTTATCGTCTTGATACTGTTATTATCCACCTTGGAACATGATAAGTTGAGTGACCTCAGCTCTCGACACACTTGACCTAAAGATTATTTGCATAACCATAAATATTCAAGAGCATGATTGATCACATGACCTGACCTAACATTAATATAAACATACATATTCATGAGCGCAATAGGATCTTACATATGGGTAATTCCGTAAATTAGGGATTAACTTTGTGACATTTTTGGTGTTCCACTTACATGAGGAACCCACACGTATTTGTGGCTCTGAGAAAAGACTTAAATAGCGGGGTGAGATTGTCAAGTGGTTTCCTCATGTACCTAGAATCACTTAACAATCTCACTTCTCTATTAAAGTCTTTACTCAGAGCCACAAAAACGTGTGGGTTCCTGTGGGACACCAAAAATGTCACAAAGTGGGTCCCTTATTTATGGAATTTATGTTATGCCATGATGCTCCTGGCATACCGGGTATCCATTCATACCTGGGTGGAGAGTGGCAAATGTAGATATGTCTTGGCAAAGGACACTAAATGCCTACTGGGAACAAACTTGCAACACTTGGATTGAGAGTTAATGGACCACGATGCCTTCATCTCCAAAGTATGAAATGTAGGTCTGGGCCCTGTTTCATAGAACTTGATACAAATAACAAAATGCTTAATTTCTATGACAGACCTGCTCTCAGCCCTTTCAAATGCCATTATATCAGTAGATTATAACAGTTATTATAACTTGTTATTGAACACAATTTTCATGAAACAGGGCCCTGGTTACCCACACAAAAGCATATTCATTTGAAACTTTTTGTTTTTTGCACTACCTGTATGGATTTTTCAGAAACATTAGGCCTAAAAAAAATATATTGTTGTATGGTCCTTTGCAACCGACCCCCAAAATCTTGAAATCTACGGTCAGCTTTTAAAAAAAAATAAAAATTTTAAACCATTTTTTTAGAAAAAAGAATGTATTAAAACTGAGAAATTTCAGCCCAAAGAGGGAGTAAAAAAAAAAAGAAAGAAGATTTCTGACCGACCGACCCATGTTTTGGCACCAATGGCTTCTATTGGTAAACCAATACAACATCTTTTTATTTTAGGCCTTATAAGCCATTACTCAGGCACTCACCAATACAGTTGAGTGATCTTGTAGTGAGAAACCTAGGAGAAGCTGAGATATCCAAGTGTTTGAGGTTGTAGCAGTCCTTGAATAGGATGGACTTGAAGATAGAATCAGTCAGCACAGCTGGGCCAACTGAAACTAAACCATTTGAATGCATGAGGAGCATATTTAGTAGTACATTCTACTACAACTCATGGATAGAATATATTTATTTTCAACTGAACAAAGAATGTTAGTCCCCCCCCCCCCCCCCAAAAAAAAAAAAGAGTTTTAAAAAAAAGTTAAAAATTACATAAATAATTTTTTTAAATATTTTTTTTAAAGCCACACTGTACTACTTGTAGCTACTTGCTCCCTCTATATAGAAAACTTCCCCAATCGGTGCCTCTTGGTCCCCTATGATCCTCTTTTTCTTATGTTAATTGAGAGCTGAGTTGATGAGATAGCCACCTGTCAGTGACCTCGCTGTGTGGTCTAATCCTTTCTGGCTGAACTAGTACAGCCGGCCTTTAAATGGTAATAAAACATAAACTTAACCAAAAATAAGAGTAAAACAAAACAGAACACACACAAATTAAAATGCACTGTGATAATATCAGTTTATTACCAATAACATAATTTGCTTACGTGATCTTATTCTTTATTATCATTATGCCTTGTCATATTTTCTCTAGCATGTAAGAACATTTTTACCGTTAATATACAAATCACATTTAGACACTTTTCACTACAAATATTAGTTCATGCATCTGGAAATATTTGAATATGTCTAGTTTGTTATAATAAATTAGAAGCTCGTAGACAGAAGTCAAAGGGAGGGAGAAGGAGGGGTGGAAAAATATGAGTGAGAGAAAGAGAGGGTAGGCAGACAGAGAGAGAGAAGCTCGTAGACAGAAGTCAAAGGGAGGGAGAAGGAGGGGTGGAAAAATATGAGTGAGAGAAAGAGAGGGTAGGCAGACAGAGAGAGATATTGAGAGAGAGACAGACAGACAGAGATAGAGAAAGAGAAAGAGACAGACAGAAAGAGAGAGAGAGAGAGAGAGAGCATAAGTATGTCTAGTTTGTTAAAATAATTTGCAAGCTCGTAGACAAGAGTGAAAGGGAGGGAGATGGAGAGGGTGGGGGGGGGGGACAGAGACAGAAACAGAGAAAAAGAGAGACACAGACACAGACAGACAGACAGACACAGACAGACAGACAGACACAGACAGAGAGAGAGAGAGAGATGAGGTGGCCAAAGGACAAGGAGAGAGAGAGAGAGAGAGAGAGCGACTAACCTTGCTCATCAGAGAATGAAAATCCTTTGAAGACATTGGTGAAGTGAAGGGAAGACTGAGACAGCCATGTTGCTTCACAAACCTTACGCCATCTCCTACATACTGCGATCAATTCAGATAACAAGAACCACATCATTATAACACACAAAGTGCTTTGCCTCTTCTACCGATATACCCCACCCATGAACCTGGTATACCCACATACATTTCAAGCAAAATAAACCCAAACTTGATAACAAAGTACATAAAAGTTGTTTCTTAGGAGTTTAATTTCAAGGCATAGTGCCTTTGAATGTTAGGTAAGAGAAATGATATTGGAAGTGGGTGATCAAGAGGTTAGTGTACCTTTGGATAAGAAATTGATCTTCAATACTCTCATATTTCTTGGATTGTGACTAAAGCTGTCAGGACCATAGATTGTATAGTCTGTACTAAAACAGGATTAGGCTTTGCAACGTTTCTCAATGTAAAATGAACAAGACTCACCAGATTCAATACCTATCCTCTCCTTTAGGGTCAGGTAGCTAAAGATATTGATGAGCATGTCATCGGGGAGAGCGTTGATCAGGGAATCATCTTCAAAGATTGGCTCTTCGTTGACAACCTGTGGTGTCTCATCTGCTTTGGATTCACTGCTGGAGGATGGTTCGGTCTTGTCCTTTGGGCCTCTCCTTGGTCTTCTTTGCATGGCGCTGCATTTCATTACCCTGAAAGATAAAAACGGTTGTTTATCAAGTCTTTATTTCAAAGGAACTTGCAATACGGGCTCTAACAGAGTTACCAGGGTCCTGTTTCATAAAACCTGTTATCAATAACAAATGCTGAATTTCTATGCAATAGTTGGTTCCAACTTCTCAGCCAAACAAATGCCACGAAATTGGAAATTTATATTATCAATATAAAGAAAAAGATTAGTGGATAATGAGGCAATGACATTATAGACTCATGAGTGAGTTGCCAATTTGTCTTGTGATTTTCAAAGTTGTTCATGTCATTATAAATTCATAACTTACTTATAAGTTGTCCAACCTTGCTCAAATTTATTTTGATTGGTTTGTCTGATTTTTCTGCTTCTATTGAAAGTAAGTTATTTTTGGAGTGGACTTCGCCTTTAAGGTTCATTCAGATATGACGCGGCAAAACCACAGCATTTCCTTTCATGATGACTTTAAGCATAATACACTTCACATTTCTGTATTTTATTACAAGACATGAATACTCAAAGGACTTCAGTCGCATACAGTTGCCATTCATTTTAAACATGTAAAAAAAAAAAACACAGGTAGTTTACCGCATCATATCTGAATAAGCCTTTAGAGGGAGCACATTTATATAGCTTACCTTCCATCCAGAGTGAGTTCATAGTCAGATGCTGACTTCGCTCTCTCTGCATCTTTCCTTTTACTGAAAGTGACAAATGCCAATCTACGGAGAAACAAGATAAAGAGGGCTGAGTCAGTTAGGTTATGCACAGTTAAGTTAATCTTTTTTAATTCTGGAAGTATCCTATAAGGTTTCATTTTGTGTGACACAAAAGTATTCATAAACCCACTGGATATGATTTTATTCCGATGGAACACATAGTTTCCACAGCCCCATCCCTAGTAATCTAGAGCTTAGTATTTACATAATTAACAAGTACTCTAGAGAACATCATTTAACACCACGTCTTAATACCACATGTTTTTAAAAAGCATAATGCCCCTCATATTTTATATCTTAATAGCACACACTAATAGGTTGGTATTACATAGGAAATTTGCTGTACACAGCTATCTTTTTCATTCATCTATACTTGCCATTCATTTAGTAAAAAATATCTTCGGCATGTGTGAACGGCTCAATACTTCTATTGCTTTCTTTGTCTCTCTGCATGGTTGCTCAATCGTGTGCCACGCATGCAATTTAGCACAAAACATTAGGCATCAACGGATGAAGGGTTGCTTCATGCAACACAAAGGCTTTGCAAATTACCCATTCCAATCTTGATTAGCTGCATGACCATCCATTTAACACCAAGGCCCTGTTTCATAAAACTTACTGTCAACAACAAATGCTAAATTTCTATGACAAATTTGCTCCCAGCCAATCAAATACCACGATTTTAGTAGCTTATATTAATTTTAACTTGTTTAAATTGATAACAAGTTTTAGGAAACAGGGCCCACAATAGGATAGATCAACATTGGAATGGAAACAGTTAAATAATCTTGAAGCCTTTGGTATATCAATCCCAACAATGTGGACTTGTGTTGCATTTTGAGACTTAAAGTAGCTTATAATAATTGATTGATTAAATTGATAACAATTTTTAAGAAACAGGGCCCATGATAGACGAACCTTGGAATAGAAACAGTTAAATAATCTTGAAGGCTTGAAGCTTTTGGTGTATCAATTCCAACAATGTGGCACAAGGGGATTATTTGTGTTGCATTTTAAGAGTTTCAGTAGCTTATAATAATTGATTGATTAAATTGATAACAAGTTTTATGAAACAGGGGCCATGATAGATCAACCTTGGAATGGAAATAGTTAAATAAAGGGTGAATGCTCTTACCCCCTTGATCTCTTCCTGTTGCGATCTGTCAAAAGGTTGACCCGAGTGACATGCCCAAAGTAGCTGAAAAAGTCCTTCAGCTCACCCCTCCGTACCTACACATTCAGGAACAAATTATGAAGCATATATTTATTAAAGTCATACTACGAAGGTTAATAAATTTTCTTATGATAAGAAACAAATAATGAAAAGATTAGATTTTAGCCTCTAGACTCAATATGAATCTGGATGAATGAAAAATACTAGAGGTCTACCATGACTGGTATAAAGCCAAAAATAGCACATACAGTACCATGTCTTTGATGGTACAAGCTATGGGGTACATGTTTTTGTTTTTGTTTTTCCAGTTTTCAAATTCAAATTTTTGTCCCAACATCAAGGCAAATCATAACCTCATTTAAAGAACTAACTGAAACAGTGATTGTCTTACTTAACTTTCAAAAACATTCTTACATTTACTGTAAGATATCTATCAGATGTCTTAAAGCGGAACTGCACTACTTGTAGCTACTCGCGCCCTCTATATAGCAAACAATGCCTAATCGGTACCCGTTGGTCCCCCATGGTCCCCTATTTCTTATGTTAATTAAGAGCTGATTTGATGAGATAACCACCTGTCAGTGACCATGCAGGGAGGTCAAATCCCTTCTGGTCAAACTAGTGCAGATAGGCTTTCATGCATAGGCACAAATGCTTCATTGTAGATTTTGGAATGAATGTCAATATTACCTGATAGTTGATGTTGCTTACATAGATCTTGTTCTCATCGGATCGGTGAACCTCATCATCTCTGAGGCTACCATTAGAAGGACCATCACCATCACTATTCCTCCTGATATCCAAGGTATCGTCCCTCTTTCTGTCACCCATGGTCTCCTCCTCATTCTCTTCATCTAATGGTTCATCCTTCAGATTCAAATCAAAGAGGACCAGTCATAAAACTTAACAGCGTTTTATTAAGATAGCTTCAATGTTTTAGCATGAGGGGATATGAGTCCAGAATGCAAAAGATATGACACTTGGTGATTTTCAGTATATCAAGTGGTTCAAAATGCTTTTTAAAAACTTTTCACCCACCCACTTGTACAGTTCCGTGTTAGTGTTACATCGTTTGCAAACAACAGACTCAGATACATCACATACTGTATAACATTTTGTTTCAATGTAGACCCCTAGGTAACATTTTGTTAAATGGCGAAGATGGTTAATTAAAGCAAAGTAGACAAATTAGATCTAGACCAAGTAATAAGTATGGAGGCAAAACATCTCACAGCAAATTGCCTGCAAAATGAACATGAGCACAGTTGAAAAACAACAACAATAACATAGGTCTAGAACAGAAAGAAAAAAATAGCCCCAAAAAAGAAAACAGCCCAAGCCAAGGCAAAAGGAGGCAATTACTTAATTTTAGAACAAATTAACACATAGATCTAGATATTAGACTAGATGCCTGCCCAAACTATTAACATAACATAAATGAGATTTTTGGTGTAATTAAGATAAAAAATGAAGGCCATAGAGTATAAGACTACTTGGGGTGCAGCGATTTCGTAATTTTCTTTCCATTCTTTCTATTCTTTAATAGTGGGAACGTCACACAATACTCAGTAGGCGGGACTGCACTGGAGCTAGAAGCCATAATAATATAACAAATCTTTCTTCAATATTACCGTTACTTTGTCACTGTCACAAGCTGTCTTTGATCTCCTCAGTCTCCAGAAGCAATATGATAGCGTTGCAATAGTAGTTATCACACAAAATGAAATGAAAGATTTGTAACCACTGTGAATTGGCATTGTCCTCGCGTCCTTCGCAAATTGAAATTTGTATTACCCGCGACTGTCCCACCGAATGGCGCGATCCGCGGGCCGGTGTGGGTGTGACCGCGTAGAATGTAACCTGCACCGATCGTCCGACTATTAGAAATCGATCGAGAGCGGACGATCCGCGCAGAATGTCCGTGTCGGACATTCCGTGCGCGCCTCAAATGTCTGACGGACAATCTGTGCAAAGAGGTCTCGCACCAATAGTCCTCCTGCCGCACTAGGCGTTGTGGCGTGCGCCTGTAATCCAGCTAACAGTGGAAGTTACAGGTTCGAAACTGAGTCACGTCTTTCGGATGGTGACGTTAAAAGTCGGTCCCCAGACGTAAATAATCATATCTGATTGATACACGTCTGTAAAAACCCAAATACACACACACACACACACCTGCCGCACCGAATGTCCGTACTCTAGTCCACACGTATACATAGTCAAAACAAACAGGGATGTACTCTCATACAAGTATAATTATACTTAATGAATGAAACGATTGGATAACACATATTCAGCTTAACCAGCTAGCTAGGGATGAAACTACAGGCAGTGGCGGATCTAGTAGGGGGGATGGGGGGGGGGGGGGGGGGGGGGTGCAAATTGTTAAAATTTCGAGGGCCAAAAAAAAAAAGGTGCTCACTACCCCCCCCCCCCCCAAGATCGCGGAGAAAGGCCTTTGCCTCTGCCCCCCAGACCAACCCAACCCCCCCCCCCCCCCCCTTCTCGCCAAAAAAAAAAAAAAAGAGAGAGAAAGAAGGGAAAGGGAAAGAGGAGAGCTAAAATGGAACACAAAAGAGGTAGAAATAAGAAAAGGGTGAAAAGAAGCAGAGATCAGTTGCGATTAATCCCATCAACATCGTGTGGATCGGGGGAGGGGGCGAAAGGCCCCTGCCTCCCTCACCAAACTTAAATGAGAGAGGGTGAGAGAAGTATAGGGGGGGGGGGGGAAGAGGAAGAAGAAAGGTAGGGGAGATCAGTTACAATTTTTCTTTAAAGCAAAAAAGCCAGATATTAAAAGTTAATTATTTTTTCCAATTTTGGTGTGATAAAATAATTATTGTTGGTGTTGTTGATGTATTGGAAAGGGTTCCAAAGCACAATATGTTAATGGATTCCTCAAAAAAGGGAGAAAAAAGGGCCTAGAGTGAGGGGGAGCAGTGTTTTTTTCGGGGGGGGGGGGTCTTTTTTTTTTTTTAGCTGGCGGTCGTCAGCTAGCTGGCGGTCGTCAGCGTAGCCGGTGGCCCGGCCCCCCCACTCAGTGTTATTTAGGGTACGCATATGCTCGTACCCTCTTTTTGAAAGCACCCCCTATCTGAGGACTGCCAACATTTCCGAACCCCCCTTTCGCGGGCTTTTTCGCGGGTTTTTCCTGCCTTGGAGACCCCCCTAAATCAGGAAAAATGCTCAATGTACCCCCCTAAATTCGGAATAATTTCTCAGGAGTCCAAAGAGATGAGAGAAAAAAAGAAAAACACCCCCTTTTTAAAGAAATCTCCGGGTGAAAAGTCAAATACACCCCTTTTTTTTACAATTCTCGGGCCGGACTTTGTCGCACGAAAAGTACCCCTTTACCGGACATTTTGGCAACACGCATGCGGTCATTCCGACCTCTGAGTGGGGGGGCCGGGGCCGGTGGCCGGTAGCGTTAGCCCCAAAGCCATGTCCAATTTTTAAACTACATTCAAGAGTCCCTTATTGCCAGGTTAAACAAGTTTTTTACATTTTCAGTACTACTTACATCCATTTATTAAATCTGTACACTCCCATGCTATCCTTTTCCAGTCTGTAAACAACTTTACAACATGAATTCAATGATGGGCAAGGTTTTACTCCTCATATGAAAGCGCCCAAACTTCGCGAGGTGAAACAAAGGGTCTTTCAATTCAAGTCTATTCAAGCCCAATATGGGCTAACAACTGGCCTGCATACCCGAGCAGAATCATTTTGTGCTTCTTCTTCTTCTTCTTGATTTGTTTTTGTTTGGCAATCAGTCACAGTTGACTATTTTTGCCACACACTTTTTTATGAATTATTTATATATATACATATATGTACAATTTCATGTCATAAATGACTATTTTTAGGATTCTTTCTCCTTCCATCCTCTTTCCTTCCTCTTTTTTTCTTTTTAGATTCTATAACTTTTTTTAGAGAGAAAATTCAATAAATTAATAATTTTGGAAAGAGACGACGGCCTAGCAAGTTGTGAATAAAAAACGCCTATAAACTAAAACTAAACGTACGTACTTGTGTTTACGCGCACGTGCGCGTTCAAATATCACCTCACGTATGCACATGTGTACTTCGCACTTACCCCCACCCTTTTCAAAATCGATTTTGATTTATGCTCGACAAAGACACACAGCCTTGGGTAAAGAGGTCCATTATTATTTTTTTTTTTAGTTATATTTTTTCATTGACAGTATACTATTAAATATCAGGAATATTGGATGCTCTGTTTCAAATACAGTTCAGATTGCCGAGCAATGAATTATCTCATGCTTCTTGTCCAAAAACCATATCTAACTGGTTTTTAAAACGGTATCATTTTAATTTCCATTTCCCAGCATTATTTTGAACCGTCTTGAACTGAAGTTATTTTCCTTTCTTATATTTCGATACCATTACGTCATCTTTCATACGCCTTCCTGGCATGCACCTCGAGCATTGTATACGTTTCTGTAGATCAATGTAATGTGCATAGATAGCAATGTACCATACTTGGAACACAAGCCACCTTCAATCTCATATAGTGTAGTTGACGCAAATTAGGCTCCGTCTCATTTCATCTCTCTCGGAGCTTCTGATACCGATCATGTCGAATAATGATGTTTGGTTATTTTCGCACATCTGCTCCTACTTCTATAATATTTAGTTTTCGTTATATACCAGGCTTATGTTTAGGAATGTCACTAGACGTGAAAAACTAAATGAGAAAGAGAGAGAGAGAGGGGAGGGGGCGAGTTAGAGCGCTAGAGAATTATCACAATCTTTATTCCTAGAACGTGTAAGGGATTTCCTGACTACTTGCATATTTTGTAATTTTACTAATTTTTACATAAAGTTTTCACAATCTTTACTCTTTACCAATATATCAGATATAATGTATTATAAAGTACCGAAATGTCACGTCATACTGGCCAAGTTATCAAGGTTGCTGGTTCCAAACAATCTTGTTCTAAACAATCGTGTGATGATCGCACAAGACCCATACCTTGTATGTTTCATTTTGAAGAACTTCAGTTAGTGTTCTCGCTCATTAATTATTAACTCCATAATATCTCCTAGCATGATTTCATTTAAAATTGCCTAGCACCCCCTCCATTGAGCCTTAGAGATATTAGCTCCATCTATCCCCTAGCATGATTTCATTTAAACTTGCACTAACTACATCCAGCCTAGCACCCTCTCCATCTAGCCTAGCACCCCCTCCATTGAGCCTTAGAAATATTAACTCCATTTCCTAGCTAGTTTGCCATTAATGCTAGTTTTCAAAACTAATTTATGTATAATACACCTACGTGTTACTTTCAAGTTGCCTTTGATACCAGGTAAGGAAGTAATATGTTCGATAATGTCAAAGTCTTCTGCAATATTTTATCGTAAGTATTGAGATAAGACTGAGTATATGCAGTGCGTCCCATAAATAAAGAAACTGAGAATTATCAATGTTTTATCATAACTTAATCACATTTATAAACAAAGAAAATGCAATAATTTTTCAATAATTCATTGCATTTCACCCCGGTCCCCAACAGGAAAAATTCCTCTGTAGGGCTCTGCATTATGGTTCATGGAATGCCCACATAGAAGATACTTTTATGTTGGGGGTCGGGGCAAAATGCAATGAATTATTGATAATTAAATGCCTGAAACCCCTTAGCTTACTGGGAATCTGCCCTTGACCAGTGGCGGAGCCAGGGGGAGCCCGGGGAAAAAAATCATAGAATTAATGATAGATATGATTCTATTGATATATTATAGAGGTAGAAAATCTAATGATAAGCTTGCTCTAACATATTGCTCCGATTGTCTCATTTTCGCTCGCGTGAACATTGCCAGCACAAACCACTGACCTCTACCTCCTGAACGGATCATCACACATTCCCATTCACTATACGTTACGTACTAAAAGGCTGTATTGTCTGACCGTTCATGAATATTCATGTTTTTGCTAAACTCGGCAAAATGTTTGCTTTTACTAAATGGAAAACTTACGGTGGGGGTTGGATGAAATGGACAAAATGAAATAGGCAGAAGTGATCTATGATAATTCATGCGTTTTATGTTTCGTGTGCTCGACCTATAATCTTCAAATCGCTTGGTAAACTGAGTCCAAAGTTAGACTTGTTTCACATGTGTATTATAGGCAATGGCGAGCTTGCAACCTATTTTGAAAAATTATGGTGGGTGAACTTTCAAAAGTCAATGAGACATGAGGGCTCCAATGAAAGAGCTAGTGATAACGTACGTCGGGTGGATGTGCTTTTCATTTAAACAAAAAATGAATTTTTAACGATTTTAAAAAAAAAAAACGTCCATAGGCTAACATGTTAGGCTGCTGACGCTGACCATGCTCTGACGATAGGGGGCGTCGTGAAATGAGACTAAACGGAGCCATATGATAATAAAATAAATGTTTTTTTCTACAGCGAGAAAGACATGTACAAAGTTCATTGGTGTATAAACCATTGAAAAGACTGGAGCGACCATGTAAAACACACCGTTACATCAATCTCCAGAAATATTGGCATACTGTATAGAATAAAATGTTTTGTTTTTGATAGAATATTAGTTATGCTATATAATAGTCTAATCTTACCACATATCCTATTGTAATATTTTGTGGGCAACATCCAAGTGTGTGACTAATAATATTCTTTTGCTGCAAAAGAAATCAGTACGCTATTTTGTACCCGAGTTGGTTATCGTGACCATGCTACCCCACCTGAAATGCTTAAAGGTTGATGATATTTACTTCCTCCAAATTTCCATATTCATGTCCCGGGGGTCTCAGTCATGTAGAAATACTGTAAGCATGCATGACCAC